GAGACAGAGGGATGGGAGAGGGCGGGGCCGCGCGGGCGGTGGAAGTCACAGCCGCCTGCCCTGGCTCTTACATGGAGAAGACTCAGGAAGGCCCCCCCCCCCCCCCATCACTGAAAACGGCCAAGAAAGCAAGTGAGACTGGCCACGTTACGTCATAAGCACAGGTTAAGATCAGCTCAGTTCCAACAAGGACAGAGGCCACTGTTGTCCTGGAGAGGGCGTCACCCTCCCCCCCACCAGGTTTCAGAACCGAATCAACAGCAGCAGTCATCCAGACCAATCGCAAAGTCTCAGGTCTAGGATTTCCAGACAGATCCAGACAGGCGATTTGCAGAAGCCGCCGCTGGCGGGCCTGCAGCAGAGGGAGGAGGGTGCTTCCCTACAAACGCGTGGCTTGCCCTGCGATCCCACCCGTGTGTACTGGGTGTTCACGGAGACTAGTTAGCTAGCAGGTACATGTTCAGCTGAAACACAGACGTAGCGTGACTGTTGCTGGACCGTTTTTAAGTCCTTGCACTAAGAAAAATAAAGGAGAAAGGAGAGTAAGTCTGATAAATAACTGGCAACAACTTCTCTTTCCAACTACACAGAGAATTCAGGATCATTAGATAGACAGTCGATGCAGAAATTCCACGGTCGGGAATCAAAGGGAAGATGCAGACGGTGGGTCCAGCGGTAGAACAGACTGAGCAGTCACACAGTGAGGTCAGGCGACGCAGCACTCCACACACGCCGTGACTTCTTTACAGCGTGGAGGGCAGCAGCGAGTTCCCGGCGGCCACCACAGGCAGAGGCAGCAGAGGTCGGCACACTCCATCGAGGCTGAACACCGCGCAGCGAAGGCTACGGCAACTGCAACAGCAACTCTGAGTCGGGAGGGCACCTGCACTCCACACGTCTGGTAAGGGCCCAACACCCAGAACACAAAAATGACTCCTACAAGTCAGCAGTCACAGCCACGCAACGTAAAAGCTCCAGTTTCCAAAACGGGCCAAGGACGCGGATGGACGTGGTTCCAAGAGGCGCACAGTGGCCGACGAGCACAGGGCAGGGTGCTCGGTGCCATCATCCGTGCTGGGGAAACGCAACCAAGGCCACAGCGAGAGACCACGCCACAGCCCTCAGGACGCCACGTGTCCCCCACGCCCATAGCACCGCTACTCACAAAAGCCAAGTGTCCCTGGGCAGCGGGGAGGATGGACGAACAAAATACGCTATCTACAGAAATGGGGTGCTTTCCAGTGCTTCTATAAAAGAAGAGAATTCTAACCCCTGCTACACCACAAGCAAACCTCCAGGTCCTGCCCAGTGGAAGCCGCCAGTGACAACGGGATGCCACTGTGGCCCCCTCACAGACGCAGGAAGCCCTCCCTGGGAGTGGTGGCCTCCAGGGCCGGGCGGCAAGGACGGCGGCGAGGACGCAGGGGCCAGCACGTGGTGCAGGTGGACAGGTGCAGGTGAGAGAGGTCTGCAGGTGGGTTCCACAACACGGGAAACCGGACAACACCGCAGTGTCCGCCTAGAACGGCCGAGGTGGGGAGTTCTGTGTACAGCACCACAAACGTTCTGAGGGCAATAAATCAGTAAAACTGAAAGAACCTCAGGTTAGTGGGGAAGGAGATAAACGCATGAGAGGAGGCGTGACAAGTCATACACACGTGCAGCCCGTGCAGGCAGCGCCACACCGGGGGACACGCGTGTACACGCTCTGGAACGCTCCACGCTGGTTAACGACACTGCTGGCTAGACCTGCAGAGGAAGCACACGAGACAAACTAACGCGACGTTTCGTCCATGACTCTGTGGGGTCGGAGACCTCTTTGGCAAGCTCGAACCACACACGTGTGCCAAGTCGGAGTGGCCAGAGACTTCCGGAAGCCGCAGCGTGGGATTCTCGTGGCGGGATTCTACACGCCGCTGACAAAGTCCTTGCAGGTGTGTTTGCGAGCGCTGCTGATACAGGGAAATGCAGATGGAGACGAGGTGAAGGAAAAGCAAACAGACCAGATACACACACACTCCCAGGCGCAAGGGCCGGGGGTAAGGAGAGGGAACCAGGGGAGATGGCTGGTGACGGGGGGGCTGCAGGGACACCCCAGCATCCCACATAGACACGCACATTCGCTCACCCCCACTTCACACCCAGGGGGAGCAGGCTCGGAGAGGGGGACTTGTGCTTAGTCGTCAAGTTGCCACGTGGTGGAGCCAGGATCAGAACCCAGATCCACCACCGCAGGTGCAGACTGGTTACGATGGGGGAGTGAGGGTCAAAGAGGAGCAGGAAGTTGGGAGACGCACAGGCCTGTCCCCAAAGCCTTCTCGGAAACCGTCCCACTGTGACAGCCCTCATGTGGACAGGGCTCTCTGCCGCATCGTCCCCGCTGGCCACAGGGAGGTGGGCGCCGTGAGGGGGCGAGCTCTGGGGACCGCCCCACACGCAGACACCGATTCCACGGTAAGCTCCCGCTGGAGTCGGCATCCACGAGCAAGTTCGGGTTAGCGGTTTCACTCCTGGGCCGTAAGGACACAGCATAATCCCAAGTGCAAAAGCCACTGTGAGAGGGTGAACAAGCCAGAGAGACAGACTGCATAACCTCCCCCGTCTGATCTCAGTGAACAAAGGCAAACAGGCATCTACAAACCCAGAAGCATTTGCCTAGAAACTGAAGTGCAGATATCCTTGGTACGTAAATAGCTTTTACAGACAATGAAACAGTGGACACACACACACACACACACACACACTCGCCCGCTGTCGACCCAAGCAATGGCTGCTCGGTCTCCCCAGCAGGTGGAGCAGTGCCCACGTGCAGTGACGCAGGCTGCTCGCCCCGGGAGCAGGGTCTTTAACGTGCTGAGCCCCCGAGGGAGGGAGAGGGCAGGCTGAGGAGTCTAACTTAGGACATCCCCGGGGTGGGGCGGGGCCGCTTGGCAACACGAGCCCGTGTGTCATGTCCTGCTAGAAGTGCACTGGTGTAGCCCAGAGACACACCAGGCGCCACGGAGCCTGAGCGACAAGGCGTCAGCGCGGCGCGTCTCCTGAAACACACGGGACGGAAGCAGGTGCTCACCCGTGGCGCAGCGGGCACTGCCACCGCCGAAGATCTCCTCAAGCGACAGCACCGGCGCCTGCTCCGAGCTGTGCGAGGGTGTCTGCAGCACACCCCCTCTTTGTGTAAAATCCATACACCCCACGTGCACAGGGAAGTATGCGAGAAACGATTGTTCATGGAAGACGACTGAGTGTTTTCAAGAGTGCAGACTTCACAATGGACCCGTGAGGGGATGACAGGGAGGCGGGTGGGGCCTCCTGCAGGTGGCCAGGTCACACTACTCCCGCGACCCTGCACCTCCGCTCCTTCCTCCTCGCCAGACCACATCCCCATATCTTGTATGCTAACATGAAAATCTAAACTGCAGACACCCGTGAGCCTGCCTGGGCGCTTCTCACGTAACACCAGCTCACTCCACGGCGAGCAGGACCACGTCCTCCAGAGACCTCCACACGCACAGCTTAGCTCTGGCATCGGGATGTCCTCGGAGCCGCTTCACGGCCACGGTCGCTAACCCGAAGCAAGGGTGAGGCAGCTGGCGGGGGCGGCGTCGGGACCGCCCCGGGCTGTTTCCCTTCTTAGGAGAACCCCAAGTCGACGTCTGCCATTCTTTGTGCCCACTGCTTTTCATTTGGACGTTAGAGGAAGGCCGGGTTCACGTACGCAGGAGGGGACGCACGCGGCACACGCAGACGGGTAACACCTCCTCCCCGCACCGTCACACTGTCCACACCTACAGCCCATCCTTCCCCATCTGAGGACAACGGGGGGCGAAGCAGAGTCCTGGGTGTGGGGGAGGTGAGGTGGGCACAGCCTGCCCCACCTGTGTGCTCCTAAGGAGCCCGGACAGCTACGCCCGTGGGGAAGGCCCGGGAACTGCACTGTTCAGGCAGAACAGCCTTCCCCAGGGCGGCAGCAAGAGTTTGCAATCTTCACATAAACACAGAACAGCAGCGCGTTCTGAAAAGACACGTGGGGGAAGGTGTTGGGTAAAGTCCAAGAAACAGGCTTAGGACGGGCAAAGGGTAAGAGGAGGGGGCCAGGGTCGGGCCGGGCCCTTGGACCGAGGCAGCGCCACGGGCCTCAGAGGACTCGCGGGCGGGTAGCACAGGGCCTTCCTCCCCCCGCACCCCACGCCAGCTTCTGGGTAGTGTACAAGGGAGCGTGGCCAGGGAGGGGGCAGGCCCGCTCCCCTCTGCTCAAGCTCAGGTCCCACGGCCCCTTCCCAGACCAGAGCACCCAGCCCGCAGTCTCCCCTCTGCTCCCTGGAAACAGCGCCTCCCTCGTCAGCAGGAGGCTGCCCGTGGTTTCTATTCTGAGCCCAAGTTTGTCTCCTGTGAGTCAACGCCTCACAGCCGGAAAGAGCTGACACACACGGGCAGCTCCCAGGACGGAACGCTGCCTCCCACCCACGACACAGGATGCTTCCTGACGATGATGACGCACTCGGGTGACGGTGACGCACACTCCGGACTCCAAGCCACACCCTTTGCTTATGTAACACCAGGAGGTCCGACCGGTTCAGCCACTTACCAACAGGAGAAAATGAAGCCAAAGCCAAACTCTTTAATAAGATCAAAACCTTGTGCTTGGACGCGAACCCGACACAGTCCAGCCTCCCAAAGACAAACACATCACACGCCCGTTCTATTTCGTTTCCACCAAACCACGAGGAAAGGTACCATTTGGGCGTCTCCCCGTGTAAGAGTCTGGATTCCGGTGAAATTACTCTCCTCCCTTGACACCCAGCACAACTGGCCGTGTGGCTCAACACACCTTCCCCAGCAGTGAACTGAGGGCCCCTCCCGCCCGGCAGGCAGCACTCACTGCGTGGGCGCCAGTGAACAGAGACCTCCATGTACAGTGTGAAGATGCAGCCTTCAAGGCCAAGGCCGCCGGACAGGGTCGAAAATGTAACACAGGAACATAGCCATACAACAACCCGAGCGAGTTTGGAGCTCACACCTTTATTTTTGTGAAGGGAAGGAAAGGGTTAGTAGTTCTGTTCAGGACACAACAGGACTGGTTTTTCAGAATACAGAGCAACGTACAAGTCACCCAACCACCGACCCGGCGCAGTCTCACTGTCACAGCAGCCTCCCAGGACATTCCCCAATCCGGGCATGAGGAACACAGTCCAAATCCCAACGCCAGTCACTGCACCACCCCCAAGTCACTGTTAGGCACTCAACTATCACAGCCATGTTCTTTAAAGTGCTTTAAAAAAGGAACCCAGAGACGGAAACATCCCAAGGATAAAGTACCAGGGGTTAAACTGTTTAAAGTGAGACTCACAGAGGAGACATGATTAAAAAAAAAAAGTCACGCTCGTCCTTCAGCAGTTTACAGGCCCCGCCGGCACACTGGAGTGGGCACCTCTCATTTCCAAAACGGTTCTGGCTGGCGGTTTCCCTCCACTGCTGGCTCACACAGTAAGCACAAGCACTCAGCCCAGACACACCGGGCCATGCACGCCGACCTACAGGTGCAGACACCTGCTGCAACACCACAGTAATCGTGACCGCACAGCGACCGCGAGGGGCTCTGTGGTCTCACCACGACCGGCTGCGGACACAGGCGTACGTGCAGCTTCCGCTGGTAACTCACGGAGTCCCAGGTTTTCAGTTCTGCGATGTTTCACCAGCATACTTCTCTCCAAGCCGCCCAGGCGGCACAGACCGCTCAACTGAAGTCCGTTAACGGGACGCGAAGACGCAACGAGCTCAATCGGATCACAGAGGACAGTGTTTACCAGACTCACACGTGAAATCCCCTTAGACATCAGCACATTTTCATTGTGTTGTTTTCAATCACAAAATATCGCAGGGACTAAACGTTAATTACAAACCCAGGAGTCTGCCTAATCTTATCGCCCAGGCACCCTTCAACACCGGCGAGGCCGCAACGCAGGCCTTTGGAAGGATTCTCCACACCGCTCCTGAAAATCTACACCTTCCCCGACACCCCTCACCCCCCATACACCCCTCACCCCCCCGTACACCCCTCCCCTTCCCACGTACACCCCTCACCCCTGTACACTCCTCACCTCCCCGTATTCCCCCTCCCCTTCCCACGTACACCCCTCACCTCCCCGTATTCCCCCTCCCCTCCCCACGTACACTCCTCAGCCCCCGCCGAGGGGTGCTAACCTCCTGCCCGCCACGTTTCACACCACCTTCCAAGTCACTAATACTCAGGTTTTGAGTTACGCCTTTTCGGACTCTTCCCCAGCAAAGCGAAACAATTCTGCTTCCCCAAGCAGTACCCTGCCCAGCGTTAAGTTTACTGTTACTAACCGGTTTTCCAGGTTCGGGAGTGTTACTGAATCCCCACAACCCCGCCCCCTGTTCTCCTCCACAGCATTCCCTCCGACCCACGTCCCCTACCACCCCCACCAAGACCCACGTCCCCTACCACCCCCACCAAGCGCTGTGCCCCTGACCCACCCCTCGGCCCCTTGCTCACCCCCTCCCTCCCACACTACCCCAACCCTAGGTCCTCCTAGTGGGATGCACGGAGCTCCTTGCAACCTCAATCAGGAAAAATCAACTCAAAAAAATAATAATAATCAAGAACCAAGGATCAGGGTTGGCCCCATGGCAGGCTGGTTAAGCTGCTGCCTGGGGCCCCGGCATCTCCTATCAGGGTGCTGGTTTGAGTCCTGGCGACTGGGTTCTGAGCCAGCTCCCTTCTAATGTGCATGGCAAGGCAGCAGAGGATGGCCCAAGGGTGGGCCGCCAGGATGGAGTTCCTGGCTTCAGCCTGGCTACTGTGGCCATTTGAGGAGTGAATCAGCAGATCAAAGACCCCCCCCCCCCCCAGTGCTCTGCCTTTCAAACACACGGATTTTTGGGGGAAAAAAAACCCGGCAAAACAAAGATCAGCCACCATCCCCTTCGTAGTCATCTGCAAAACCATCAGATGCCCAAACCCGAGGCGACCTGCATCTCCCACACGCGGAATGTGGACCTAACCCACCTGTCCCCGCCCCGATGCTGGCGCAAGTGACCCTCACTGGACAACTGCTCCCTCGACTACACCCCTGTGCCTCAGGCCTGTGACATGGACCAGCTTCCCCAACACAGGCTGAATCGTCACACGGCGAACTCCCCCGGCTAACACACAGGCAGGCCGGCGAGCAGGCAGGCAGGCGGGCGGCGGGCGCGGTCACCGGGCTCCATCTACCAGGCATCACCGTGCCACGGCACCGACCAGCGTTACCAACTTCTACGGCTTAAGACTCTTCTCGAAGCAAGGGTCACAGGGCAGAACTAGCGTGGCTGGGGGCTCGAGCGAGACGACGCAGCATCTGACAGCTTCCCCAAAAAAGGAGGGGTGCCCGCTGGTCACGGCCGGGGCGGGGGGTGCTTCCGGAACAAGCCTTCAAGGGTGGCAGTCCCTCAGGCCCAACTCAGACTGCCCCGCGTAAGCTCATGGGAGAGCCCGAGACAGCGGCCTCCCGGACACGGCCTGGACACCAGGCACTGAAGCGCTCCTCTTCCTAAGCTCCGCAAAGTCCATCTGCAGGCACCGATCAGCGGGCTCTTCCCCTGGGGCGGCCCCTCCTGCACTGCCAGGACTCGCAGCGGCCGGGGGCTCCATCTCTCCGGGTGCAGGACGGACACTACAGCAACAAACCGCCGTCTCTGAGCACCCGAGGGTGCATGGTCACCCCCACCCGCCCCACCCGGAGCACCGTTACCGTCAGTACCGACTCCAACCCAGCTCCGGCTGGGTCCCCGGCTTACCAGGTTACCAGAGCCAAGGGTTTTTAAAGGGGGTGGGGGTGGGGTACAGCGGGCTCCCGGGAGAGGTGAGCATGGAACCCAAAGTCCCAAGGAGGGCACTGCGACCTGGAAAATAAAGCGTCAGTCAAGGTTGGCCCGGGACGCGCCAGCCTCACACCTCCCCTGACCTCCAACCAGGGGCCTGGCCTGCACCTGCCCCGGGCCTGAGCCGCAGTTACATACCACCCGGGGCAGACTGCCGGCCCGGGAAGCTGAGTCGTTTCCCCAAGAGCAGGCGGGGTCACCACCCGCCGTCTGGTAGAACCCAGGCTGCCTGCACGGCCAAGGTCCAGGCCGGCGCCCCCCGCCCACCTGCAGCCCCGCACCCCCGGCCCCTCGCCCCGAGCGGTCCCAGGCGGGCACCAGCGCCCATTTCTGCCGTCTCCGCCGCTCCCTGCCTTCCTCCTTCCTCTCCTTCCCAGTCACCGGGGCTCGCTCAGCCCCTCAGCAGCAGGGCCCGGGGCGAGGCCACGCTGTCCCCCTGCAGCAGGGACAGCTGGGTCCGGCGCGCTGCTGCGCCTGCGCCGTGGCCGCCCCGCCACGGGCCCCCCAAACCCACTCTCCCTTCCCGGCTTCCTTCTCCTCACACCCTCGCGCCCCGCACCCCCAGGCGCATCTGACGCCCTCATCTCCCGCTTCTGGCTCCTGAGGCCCTGAACTGGCCACTTCCGCCCCCCAACCCCGGCCAGCCGCGGGCCACCCCCTGTCGCTAGCTCCTGCTGGCCCGGCCACAACTTTTGCTTTTATAGCCCTGGGTCGCGTCACTGGTGGGGCATTGCTCCACGGCGGGATTCCTCTACTGCCACCGGAAAAAGAGTCCCTGCCCCGTCCCCGCCCGAGGACACACGGTTCAAGGTCTCTCTGGGGCCACCCCCAGGGTCCGCAATTCAGCCCTCAGGAGGGCGGGCCCATCTCAAGGTCACACTCGGGGCAACATGGCACGGAGCGTCCTTGGCGGTGTGGAGGGTGCGGCGACCCGGTCCTGGCCGAGGGGGCCGACACGCCGGCGCCTCTCTCCCGCGTGGGCAGCCGGCCGGCCAGGGCCACTTCCGGTCACCCCGCCCCCTAGAGAGCTGAAAGAAGGGCCGGCAGGGCGCCTGGAAAATTCCAGCTGGCGGCGGAGGGATCTCTGCAGAGGGCGCATCACTGCCGCGCGGCAGCGCGTGACTCCTTGGGCGGCGGCTGCGGCCGATGACGTCAGCGCCGGGCGCGCGTGGGGGCGGGGCGGCCTCGCTCGCGCGCCCTCGACCCCCACCCCGGCCAGTGCCCGGCCGCGACCCCCTGAGCGGAACCGGCGGACCCGCACGCCCGCGCGGGCTGAGGGTGGCTCCGGCCCAGGGCCCTGCTTTGTCGTTTAAAAAATGGCCGGCGGCCGAGGGGCGAGGACTTCGGGCCGAGGGAGCCGCCCGTTGCGGGGGCCGCCGGGGAGCGGAATGCAGCCCCGGCCGGGTGGGCGGCTCTGGGAAGCGTGCTCGCCCCCCGCGTCTGCAGAGCGGGCCCGCGGACCCCCGAGGGAGCCTGTCCCGCCCCGGCCCCGCGGGAATGCGGGAGAAGGGAGCGCACCAGGTCGCCGGCCTGAGGCTGGCACCTGGCACACGCGCCCGCCAGGAAGCCCCCCGGGCTAGCCGCCGACCCCCGCCCGGAACCGCCCGCGACCCCAAGGCCAGCGAGGGTCCCCCCTGCTGCTGCCAGGTGCCCTGGCGGGCAGGGCCGGGCCCGCACCTGGGCCTGCGGTGACTCACTGTCAGGTGGCCGCCCACCCCCGGGCTGCACGAGGGGCGGCTGCCCCCTCGCTTTCCCTGCTGGGCCAGGCACAGACTCTGTGTCCCCGCGAGTGGGAGCAGGGAGAACGGGCAGCACACGGAGAAGCCGGGGCGCCTCCGTGCTCGTGTGCGGCCTGGCCCCCCACGCACTTGGTTTTCCAAAGGCGAAATGGCGGAGGTCAGCGGCTCCCCGCCTGGCAGCCCCGGGGCCTCCGAGCTCCCAAGGACGGAACGTGTCCGTGTCCGAGCACAGACGGGGGGCTGGGGAGGGCTGAGGGGGCTGGGGTCCTGCCTGCGCCCCCCCCCCCCCGAGGCCCCGGGGGCTGGGCACACTCCAGCCCTGTTCTGCTCTGCAAAAACAGCTAAAAATACTCCAGGATGGGGGCGGGCGGCCGTGAGTCAGGGATTTCTCCAGATCAAAACAGCTTGTTCCCGGAACCCGGAGCCCGCGGTCCCGGGTGGGGCTGCGCGGTGATGGCGGCCCCGCCCCGCTCTGGCCGCCCTCGGCACGGTTCAGAGCCCTGTCCCAGGCCACCGAGCTCCGCGGGTGTGACCAGCCCTGGACGGGACCCCTGGGAAGGGCGCGAAGAGGGCCCCCCCGATGTGCCGACCTGCAGCCCCCAGGGTCTAGTGCTCGGGCCTCCTGGGGCACCTCGAGGTCCCACTCCCCGAGACCCCCGGCCTGGGCGCTTTCCCTCTGTGCCCTGAGCCCCTGGAGCTGCAGGTCACCTGGCCCGGGCCCACCCGCAGCCTCGTGGGCCCCCTCCTGCCCGGCTCCCCCCTGACTCCGGGCAGCCCGGCTCTCCTGGGCCCCCACTACCCCTAGCATTTCAGACCGGTATGGTTTTGCCTGGAACCTTTTCACCCGGTGGCCGCCTTGCTAACCCCACCCTCCCCCCAGGGTCCCCTCTCGGGTGCCCCTGGCTAACCCCACCCTCCCCCCAGGGTCCCCTCTCGGGTGCCCCTGGCTAACCCCACCCTCCCCCCAGGGTCCCCTCTCGGGTGCCCCTGGCTAACCCCACCCTCTGCCCAGGGTCCCCTCTCGGGTGCCCCTGACGAGGGCCAGGCGCCAGGCGCGCCCCTCCCCCAGGCCGGCTCTCCTGGGCGAGGGGTTCTGCCTGTTTGCGTGGCTCTCGGTGCCGGGTGGAGCAGCCCGGGAAGGGTGTGTGCCTGTGCAGGCTGTGCCTCCAGGTCGCGGACCGCTGTGAGGCTGCTGGTAAATATTTATGGACTGAGAGAAGTCAGGGGCTCCCGGTGCACCGCGCCCCACAAAGCCTGCAGGTCCAGCTCTGCGCCAGCGCCCACCCCACCCCACCGCCTCCCTGGGAACGCTCGGGGTGGACCCGGGGAAGCAGGCCCGCGGGGAGAGGCGGGGAGGCAGGGGCACCGGCCATCTGCACTGAGGCCAGGCCGGGAGGAGGGGGAGGGGAGCCTCAGGCGGGGCGGGGCTGCGCTCAGGAATTTGACACCGGGGTGGGGGTGAGGGGCTTTGCTGTTGCGCCTGTGCAGGCCAGGCCGGCCGGAAGCAGCTCAGATGGTGAGGGTCTCCCAGGACTCCCTGATGCCTGCCCCGCGCCCCTCCCCACCTGGCCTCCTGCACCTCCCCCCAGGCCGGCGCCCCTCCCCACCTGGCCTCCTGCACCTCCCCCCAGGCCCGCGCCCCTCCCCACCTGGCCTCCTGCACCTCCCCCCAGGCCGGCGGCCCTCCCGGCTGAGCCTTGCCGGAGCCGCCTCTTCCTGGGACGCCCTCCCTGCCCGCCGTCACCTCGTCTCCTGCAGCCACTTTCCCCGCCCCCTCGTCCCTGTGCCTCGCTCCCCACCCCAGCAGATGGAGGCCTGGGGAGCCCTCCAGAGCCCCCAGACCGCTTCCACCCCTGCTGCCGGTGACCAAAGCCCAGCGTTCCTAGACCCCTCCCTTAACCAGGACCACTCACCAGGAATCCCAGCAGCCCCTGGCCCTGGCCTCCCACTCCCCTGGGGGCTCCCCTGGGCCTTGCTCGCCCCCTCCCGACTCCACCCCCTGGAGCACCTTGACCCCTGAAGAGCTGTGACCACCACTCTCTCCCCACCCCCTTGGTCGGCTCCAGGGCCATCTGAGGGGTCCCTGGCTGAAGTCAGGGCTTCTGTGGGGGGAGTGGGAGCCCCCCCCCCAGGCTGCTGACCTTGACTGGGAGGCCTGTGCTCTCACAGCCCCAGACTGTCCGTCACCAGTGGCCCTCGGGAACAGCTGGGACTATTATTAGCCTCCTTGTCCCAAGTTAGGTCAGACATTTTAAGTAGCAGAGCGCTCAGCCTGTGGGGAGGATGGGAGGTGCCCAGGACAGCAGGGGAGGAGGCTGGGGAGGGGGCCCCAGCTCCCGTAGGCACAGGGGGAGCTGGAGGGAGAGGACCTCCCCAGGGTGTGCCCACCCTGAGCCCTAGTTTTGAAAGTATTGACTAAGGTGTTGTTTCACATCACAGAGCTAAGTCCATTTCCAGACGTGGATCCTGGCATTCGGCAAATACAGGTCCTGGAAGGAAACCCCACATGTGCAGCTCGCCCCCACCCCGGCCCCGCGTCCCCAGCACGGACCCAGTGGCAGGAGGAAAGCCCAGTGGGCAGGAGCCAGGGCACCAGGCCCAGGGCAGCGCCGCGGGGCGGCCTCTGCGGCTGAGCAGGGGAAAGGGTGGGCTCAGCTGCCCCCTGCTGGCCACGGCTGGCCCCGCAGCCTGAGCACAGCACCGCTGGCCACTGGTAACCGCCTGCTTTTTCTGAAATGGGGGTGGTGGACAGTGATGACGTCCAGGTGGCTCCTCCCGGTCAGGGAGGAGAAATGAGAATTTGTCCTGAGGCCTGTGCTCCCCTGGAGTCAGGGCTGCCCGTGTCCAGGCTCAAGGTCACAGCCAGGTTTGGGTTGTCTGGCCTGGCCTGGCCTGGTGTGGCCCATGCTGGGCCCTCTCGCCTTGTTCTGCGTAGCTCGATCCTAAGCCTGTCAGGCTCTCTCCCCCAGGAAAGCTTTTCTTAAAAAAAAAAAAAAAAAAAAAAAAAAAAAACTGTATGAAGGGGGCCGGCGCTGTGGCACAGCAGGTTAAGCCTCTGCCTGTGACACGGGCATCCCATGTGGACGCCAGTTTGAGACCCAGCTGCTCTACTTCAGATCCGCTCCCTGCTAATGCAATTGGGACAGCAGCAGAGGCTGGCCCGGGGTCTGGGCCCCTGTGCCCACCTGAGAGACCTGGGAGAAGCTCCTGGCTCCAGTCTGGCCCAGCACCAGCCGTTGCAGTCATTTGAGAAGTGAACCAGAGGACGAAAGATCTCTCTCTCCACCTTTCTCTGTAATTCTGCTTTTCAAGTAAATTTAAAAAATAGAAAAAATAAGTTATTTGAGAGAGAGATCTCCCACCCACCGGTTCATTCCCCAAATGCCCCTAATGACTCCATCTGGGTGTCCATGTGGGTGGCAGGAACCCAAATGCAGCTGGAGTCAGGGGCCGGAGCTGCATCACACGCAGGCCCCCCGGCGGCTGCTGCGGGCGCCCTAACCACGGCTTCAGCACCGGGGAGGAAGCTGGCGTCTGCCGGCTGCCCCTCTGCCGAGCGCGCGTGGCCTGGTCCCGTCAGGGGTATGGCGGTGTGCAAAGTGGCTCACTGTCCTGGTCACCTGCGTTCCCACTCTGTGTCCCTGGAGAAGCTGACTGGACTCAGCTGTGCGGGGAGCAGCGGTAGCTCCTGCTGACACCCGGCGGGGGCTCTGGCTGTGTCCACCCCAGCCCTCTCCTGCCCAGTCATCTTCATGCCTGCACCCTCGGTCATCTCAGACAGCGTGACACCTTTCAGGGCACAGCAGGCCCTGGGTCTCCAATGGGTCTCTCTCTCTTTTTTTTTTTTTTTTTTTTTTTTTTGTATTTGCTTTGAGGGCACAGTGGGTAAAGCTGCTGCTTGTGACGCCAGCATCCCATATGGGGCGCTGGTTCAAGTCCCCGCTGGTCCACTTCTTTTTTATTTATTTTATTTTTTTAATTTTTTGACAGGCAGAGTGGACAGTGAGAGAGAGAGACAGAGAGAAAGGTCTTCCTTTCCATTGGTTCACCCTCCAATGGCCGGCGCACCATGCTGATCCGATGGCAGGAGCCAGGTGCTTCTCCTGGTCTCCCATGGGGTGCAGGGCCCAAGCACCTGGGCCATCCTCCACTGCACTCCCGGGCCACAGCAGAGAGCTGGCCTGGAAGAGGGGCAACTGGGACAGAATCCGACGCCACGACCGGGACTAGAACCCGGTGTGCCGGAGCCGCAAGTGGAGGATTAGCCTAGTGAGCCATGGCACTGGCCGTCGCTGCTCCACTTCTAATCCAGCTCCCTGCTAATGTGCCCGGGACAGCAGTGGAGGACGGCCCAAGTGCTTGGGCCCCTGCACCCACATGGGAGACCCAGAAGAAGCTCCTGGCTTCAGCCTGGCCCAACCTTGTCATTGTGGCCATCTGGGGAGTGAATCAGTGGATGGAAGATTTCTCTCTGTCTCTTCCTCTCTTTCAATAGATACATATATTATATATGTATTATTATATATTAATGTTATATGTTATATATGATATATATATATGACATTTATTTTGAAAGTTTATGGGGGTGGGGGTGGGGGAGGGGAGGAGCTCTTCCACCCGCTGGTTCACTCCCCAAATGGCTGCAATGACAGGGATTGAGCCTGGCTGAAGCCAGGAGCCAGGAGCTTCATCCGGGTCTCCCACATGGGTGCAGGGGCCCAAGCACTCAGGCCGTCTTCTACTGCTTTCCCAGGCCACAGCAGAGAGCTGGATCGGAAGTGGAGCAGCCAGGACCTGAACTGGCGCCCACATGGGATGCTGGCGTCACAGGTGGCACTTTACCCACTAGGCCATGGCGTCATCGTCCACCCCACCCCACCCCCGCCCGGGGCTCTGGACAGACGGACATGCTGCTGCGCTGGCCCCTGGCTGGGCTGTGGCTGCGGTGGTGGTGGGAGCCACGCGTGCCCAGCCAGGGCTGGGAAGGCCTGCAGGAGTGTCCCACAGGTGGCCCCAGTGCTGGATGACCCAGAAATGCCCCAGCCTCGGCGACAGCTCTGAGCGCCACCACGCGCTGACCCCACGGGCCACCTTTGGAGCCAGGCGGGCGCCCAGCCGGCAGGGGCACACTCTCCTGACGCTCCTGCGACCCCGGGGGAGCTGGTGTTTTTAAGTAACAGCTTTTGATGCCTTGGAAGGGCCAAAGACCAATGCGGTGCACCTTAGGGTGCCACTAGGGTTCTGCAGTTTCTTTCAAAAAAAAAAAAAATGAAGCCCGAACCCTCAGAACCTCAGCACGTGCCCTTGCCCGGGAACAGGGCCCCTAACCTGACGACTGGCGTCCTTACACGCGGCCATGTGGCCACGAGGGCAGAGGCTCCGGGGACCAGCTGTGAGCCGAGGAGCAGCAGGGGCTGGAACGGGCGAGGGAGGGAGGGAGCCGGGCTCAGGCCGGAGCCGTGGGACCACCACTGCCGCTGGCTCATGGCCACACGTGAGCCCCAGGGCGCCTAAGACGGGAACGAAATGTTCTCTGCGTCACAGGGGTCCTCAGGGTGACAGCAACAGAATCCCACACCGCTGCAGGCACACCCAACACCCAGCGTCTCCACTGGCCCCATGACGGACACAGAAACCAGGGCTCAGGGAGCTGGCTTCCGGCCCCAGAGTGGCAGACAACCACCCCCCTCCCCCCCGGGAAAGTCCAGGTGCCTGTCATTGGCAGCTGTGCACAAAACCTGGAGCCCTGCCCGGGGTGGGAAGAAACCCACTTTCTCTGTTTTTGAGAGAGATTAATTCACTTATTTGAAAGGCAGAACTAGAGACAGCGAGCGAGCAAGCGCTTCTCTCCGCGGGTTCACTCCTCGTCACGACAGCTGGGGCTGGGCCGGGCTGAAGCCAGGAGCGAGCGCCTGGCCGGCCGCCCGCGTGGGACAGGAGCCAGGCGCAGGGAGCTGGGTGGGACTCCAGGACGGGGTGCAGCAGCGTCCTCTGCTGTGTCTCCACGCTGACCTCGGGCTGTGGCCTAGAGGGTACAGCCGCCACTTGTGACGCCGTCATTCCATGTGGGCGCTGGTTTGGGTCCCGGCTGCTCCACGTGCTGTGGCCTGGGAAAGCGGATGAAGATGGCCCGAGTGCTTGGGCCCCTGCACCCGCGTGGGAGACCTGGGAGAAGCTCTGGCCATCTGGGGAGAGGACCAGCGGATGGAAGATGTCTCTCCCTCTTTCTGTAAACTCTGCCTTTCAAATAAATTAATTAAAAATAAGTTCTAAAGTCCTCTGTGAGCAAATTTTACAAAACCACCGAGCGCACGGCACTGCCAGGCCCCGCCAGTGCGACAGGAGGGCTCCCGAGAGGGGCAGCGCCTGGGCAGGCGACGTGTGGCTGTCGTTCCTGCTTCTGCCCTGCCATCCAGACGCGGCTGCCCGCCCGCTCGGGGCCTGGACCCGGAAGCTGCTGTCCCACAAGGCCCCCGTTCTCCCGCGCAGCTCCCAGACACAGCACTGAGCTGACAGAGCTGACTGACGCCTACAGCCCGGAGCTGGGTGCTGCCAGGATCCTCCCCAAGGAACAGAGGAGGTGAGTGCCTCGCCGGGGGCCCGGTCGGGCGAGGACCCCACAGGACGAGGCCCTGCGCGCCTCAGAGGCCGTGGAACTGCTGTGCTCCCCCAACCTGACTGCGCTCGCCGCACAGGCCCAGGTCCCAGGTCCCGGGCGGGGCAGCAGCCTTCCCCCGGGTCCCTGGAGCCCGCTGCCTGTGGCCAGCCCTCGGGGCTTAGCAAAATCCACACACGCAGCCTGGAACCCTAGGCTCTGGTGAACACACCGCCCACCGTCAGCTCACCCCATAAACCATTGCACGGTTCGCTGGGAACGAGTTTTATTATTAACAAGTCACATGATACAAAAGAAGAGAACATTCATGGGGCACTCGGCGAACCCCTGCTTTGTCCCAAAGGGCAGGCAGAGGAGGTTAAGGCACAGTGAACGCTGAGAAAACACGAGAAAAGCTGCAGAACACAAACAGGAAACTGCGCACGCACACGCACACGCACACACATATGCACACCCCGCGTGCCCATCAGGTAACAGTCACCTGGAATCAACAGTGCCTGACTGGAGTCCCGGGCACAGGCCGGGCTGCACGAGGGGACACAGGACGTGTCCTGACGCCGCCCTGCAGCCCCGCCGCTCCTGGAGGTCTCCCCTGTCCACCCGGTCACTCTGACGAACCCCCCAGTCCCTGCCGTGGGGGGGCGGGCGGGGGTGGACGGGTTCTCCCAACAGCACCCTTTCCTCCCGTGGGCACCGCTGGGCGGGGAAGGCAGAGCCCAGCCCTGAGCCCCCGGGCCTGCCCAGGAAGCACGGGTCAGACAGGTCAGAGCTGCGGCCCCCCACGGGCTCGTCTGGGAAGGCACGAGAAGGCCGGGCGGGGGGGGGGGGAGGAGCGGCCACACCCACGCCTCCTTCTGACGTTCCTCAGAGACCACCTCGTCGGGGGCTGGCCCTGGGGTCACCATCTCACTGACACTGAGGGACAGTGGTGGCCTGAGCTCATGGCTTCACTGAGCCCACGCAGATGAGACAGGCCCCCAGCTAGACCCCGGGACCCAGGACACTGGGAGCAAAGGGCAGGCCGCGGGTCTGCTGAGGTGGGACCACCAGGGCCCGGGGAGCAATTCAGTGTATGCTGCAGTGGGGTCACGGGATAGCCACCTCCCGGTGGCCAACAAGAAGGCACTGCGTGTGGGCCAGCCCTGCCCGCCCATCCAGTCCCCAGTTCGGCGGGCGAGGCAGGGCCCTCCCCTCGTGTTCTGCCGCGGCTCAGTCTGCGGTCACCCAAGTGCAGGGCACTGCAGGCCGCGGGAGCAGCCCCTCACGCAGGGCCTCCGCCTCCTGGAGACGGGCTCACCTCTGGGAAGTCACTGTGGCCAGCGCAGGCCCTGAGACAGCAGCGGGGCCCTGCGTCCAGGGCGACCCTGGGAGGCCCAGGCGCCGTCCCATCTCCGTGGCCTGGAGCCCCCAGGGAGGAGGGTGGGGGCGGGGGCCGAGGCCTCCCCCCGCCCCATGCTTGGGCTCAGTCCTGCTCCACGCCGTCTGTGGGCTGCACCACGGTGTAGCTCCCCTGGCCCATGGACAGCTGGCGGCTGAAGAAGGACGTGGTCCGCTTCGGCTTCACCCGCTTGATCCCCTTGCCTGGGCGGGAGGGGGAGGGAGAGGCTGAGGCGGCGGCGGCTGCGGTAGCTCAGGTGGCTCTGGGCTGTCAGCACCGAGCTCCCCGGCACCCCTGCACCCCCACCAGTGCCCCCAGGGAGAAGTGGGGTGTGTGCCAGCCCCACACATCTGAGGCGGGGGATCAAGGTCATCTGGAGCTCTGGCCAGAACCTCGTCACGGACAGACCACAGAAACCAGACCCCTGCGAGGCACACGGGGGACGGACAGGGGTGGGGGCGCTCGGCCACACTGCACTCGGGACAGCAGTGGACGCACCTGACACCTGTGCCTGCCTCACACTGCCTGGGCCGGCTCCGGCCCGGCTCCTTGGGGCACCGGCATCCCGCGTCGAGTGCTGGGTTCCAGCCTCGGCTGCCCTGCCCTCTGACCCAGCTGCCGGCTGATGCGCCTGGGAAGGCGACGGCGGCCCCGGTACCTGGGTCCAGGCCCTCACGTGGGAGACTCAGGGGGGCTCCGGGCTCCTGCCTGGCCCCGCACTAGCTGCCGGGGACATCTGGGGAGTGAACCAGCAGATGGGGACTCTTGCTCTGCTTTTCAAACAAATAAACAAACCTTAAAAAGATTTAAAAAAAAAAATGAAAAATGAACCAACCAGGAAACCCTGAGAAGCGGCCCAGCCGCCAAGAGCCCGCGGGGACGATGGCACAGGGGCCGGCAGGAGGGGCAGCCCCGGGCCGCAGGTGCACACAGGGCGGGCCTGAGGGAAGCCACCGTCGCCACGATGGCGGAACGTGAGCGACGGAAAAGGCTGCTTTTCTGATTCCAAAACTTATTTTTAAAATTCTCTAACGGCATGCTCGCAAACAGTTTACGGGCCACAGGGGGGAAAAGCTGCGGTGACAGCTGGCCGCGGGGTGTGTGTGTGTGTGTCTCCCCTCCCCCTCCCCCCACGCGGCTGTGCCGTCTGTCCTCGACCTTTCTGCCCAGGGCCGGCAGTATGGGGGGGCCTCCTGCCGTGTAAACGCAGCTCTGCTTCTGCACTGAAGCCTCCACGCGGGCGGCAAAGCCCTCGCAGCCCCCACACCCCCGCCCGCTTCCCAGGGAGGCACCCCCAGCTGCTGCGGCTTTTTCAGTCTGTGTGTTTGAAAGGCAGAGTTAGAGAGAGAGAGAGAGAGAGAGAGAGAGAGAGAGAGAGAGAGAGAGACGGGGGAGACAGGGAGAGAGGGAGAGAGAGAGAGACGGGGAGAGGGAGACAGAGAGAGGGAGAGACAGGGGGAGGGAGAGGGAGACAGGGAGAGGGAGATGGGGAGAGGGAGGGAGAGAGGGAGACAGGGAGAGAGAGAGAGACGGGGGAGAGACAGGGAGAGACAGGGAGAGATGGGGAGAGGGAGACAGAGAGAGAGAGGAGAAGGGAGAGAGGGAGAGAGAGGGGGAGAGGGAGACGGGGAGAGACGGGGGGGGGGGAGGGAGGGAGAGAGAGAGCGGGGGTGGGGGGGAAGGAGACCTTCCATCTGCTGGTTCACTCCCCAAATAGCTGCAACCACCAGGCCTGGACCAGGCCAAAGCCAGGAGCCAGGACTCCATCCTTGTCTCCTACGTGGGTGGCGGGAGCCCACGGACCTGGGCCGTCTTCCCCTGCAGGGAGCTGGATTGGAAGTGGAGCAGCCGGGATACGAACCCGCGCCCTGATAAGGGATGCCGGTGCAGGCTGTGGGGTAGCGCACTGCACCACGGCGCTGGCCCGTCACGTGGCCGTCTGTGTCGCCAGAAGCTCAAAGCCAGCACTGGTGTGGTACCAGCTCAGTGTCAGACTTCACCAGGTTCTCCACAGGGACCCCCCACCCCGCGGGCCTCTGCCCTGCCCACGCGCTGCGCTCCACACTGACGCACACTGCAGGAAGCTCACCTGTGGACGTGGCAGGAGAAGGGACAGGAAAGGGACCCGACGGCCAGGGCCAGCCTCCCCCTCCCAACAGGTCCTGCACGCGCAGACTCACTCCCACCGCGTCCGGAGCTAGGTGCGCACACGCGCCCAGGCGTGCACAAGGGGCAGCTCACCGTCTTCCACGTAGTCGATGGTGGACAGATGCTGGATCCGGCTGCACACCACGCTGCCCTGCCTCCGCAGCTTGGGCCGCTGGGCGGGCGGCTGCGAGGGGCTGGGGGCCGAGCGGGGACCAGGCGCGCTCTCCTGGGGGGCGGTGGGCTCCGCGGCCTGGTTCAGCTCGATGCAGTACTCAATGAGGCTGCTCATGAGCTCGGCCTGCGGGTGGACAGGGCCCAGCGTGAGGCCACAGGGCGCAGGCCAGGCGTGGGGAGCAGCTTCCCCGGGGAGGAGGGAGGCGGGAGGAGGGAAGGTGTCCCACTCCCCCACGCCGTGACCTCGGAGAGGACTGACGCGCGCTCAGTGGGGACCTCAGCAGCCGAGAGCGCAGGAGGCTGGGGAGGAGATGCGAGGACCGAGCCCCCCCCACCCCGACACCGCAGGGGAGGCCGGAGGAACCCAGGCTTCCGAGCCGCCTGCAGACGGCCAGAGGGAGCCTCAGAGGAGGCGGGGAGGCCCCGTGGGGCGCAGCTCGCACTGCCCGAGGCGTCAGGGCGGGAAAGGGGACACGGCTACATGGGACACGGATGTGCGGCACCAGCAAGCCCAACTCTGCAGGAGGAGGAGTGAGCCCAGCAGGCAACAGTCAGCCGCGCCCACGGGACCGTCTGACAGGACGCGGACAGCGCTGGCCCGCGGGACCAGAAGTGTTCACGAGAGCACCCAAGACAAACAGTGGAGAAAGGGACACGAACGGCCTCTCCCTCCGCCTCCAGCTCCCCGCAACGCAGACCCTGGGAAGCTCAAGCGGCCCAAGTCCCCGGCCCCAGCTTCCGCCTGCCCCCCCCCCCCCGCCCACCGGGCAGACATCCGGGGAGGGGGCCGTCAGCGGGGACTCTGTCTCTGCTACTCAGAAACAGCAGCAGCAGCAAAAACCCAGACACAGAAAACTGGAAAGGAAGGAAGGAACGCGACCTCGGGAGCCGGCAGCTCTTCTGCAGAGGGGAGGGGAGACGTGAAAACCTTCCGGTGGATTCTAAGATTCACACGGAAGTGCAAAGGAAACGAAGCGGCCAGAACAAAGTGCTGGGGGCCGGCGCCGCGGCACAGCAGGTAAAGCTGGTGTCTGCGAGGCCGGCATCCCATACGGGTCCGGCTCAAGTCCCAGCTGCTCTATTTTTTTTTTTTTAAGATTTATTTCTTTACTTGAAAGGCAGAGTTACAGAGAGAAAAAGGCAGAGAGAGAGGCCTTCCATCGGCTGGTTCACTCCCCAAGTGGACCCAATGGTCAGAGCTGAGCTGATCCAAAGCCAGGAGCCAGGAGCTTCCTTCCTTCAGGTCTCCCACACGGGTGCAGGGGCCCAAGCACTTGGGCCATCGTCCACTGCTTCCCCAGGGCACAGCCCCCATATGGGATGCTAGCACTGCACGCAGCTATCAGCTACACAACAGTGCCAGCCCCACAGCTGCTCCACTTCCGACTCAACTCCCCACTAATGGCCTGGAAAAGCAGTGGACGATGGCCCGAGTGCTTGGGCCCTCGCACCCATGTGGGAGACCTGGGCAGAGCTCTGGGTTCCTGGCTTCGGCCTGGCCCAGGCCTGGTTATTGCCGGGGAAGTAGACCAGCTGATAGAAGATATCTCTGTCATTGTGTCTTTCAAATAAATAATTAGCTATTTAAAAAAATAAATAGGGACCAGTGCTGTGGCATTGTGGGTTAAGCTACATCTCCAACGCCAGCATCCCGTATGCACACTGGTTCAGTCCTGGCTGCTGCATTCCCTATCAGCTTCCTGCTAATGGCCTGAGAAAGCCATGAAAGATGGCCCAGGTGCCTGGGCCCCTGCATCCACGTGGGAGACCAGGAAGTGTCTCCTTCCTCCTGGCTCCAGCCCAGCACAGCCCCTGCCGCTGTGGACATTTGGGGAGTGAACCAGTGCATGCAAGCTCTCTCTCTAATTCTGCCTTTTAAACTAAAGGGGGAAAACTCCATACAGAGATACCATCTTTTTTTTTTTTTTTTTTTTTAAAGATAGGCAGAGTGGACAGTGAGAGAGAGAGACAGAGAGAAAGGTCTTCCTTTGCCGTTGGTTCACCCTCCAATGGCCGCCGCGGCCAGCGCGCTGCGGCCGGCGCACCGCGCTGATCCGATGACAGGAGCTGGGTACTTCTCCTGGTCTCCCATGGGGTGCAGGGCCCAAGCACTTGGGCCATCCTCCACTGCACTTCCCTGGCCACAGCAGAGAGCTGGCCTGGAAGAGGGGCAACCGGGACAGAATCCGGCACCCTGACCGGGACTAGAACCCGGTGTGCCGGCGCCGCTAGGTGGAGGATTAGCCTAGTGAGCCGCGGCGCCGGCCCAGAGATACCATCATTTAACCAACAGAATGGCTAAACCGTAAAAACTGGAGTGAGGGTTAAGCCCTTCTCTTGGGACACTCCCATCCCACATGAGAGTCTGGGATCAAGGCCCCTTCCACCCCCAATCCAGCTCCTGCTAACGCCCCTGGGAGGCAGCAGCGGACGGCCCAAGCCCTTGGGCCCCGTCCCACAGGGAGCCTCAGACGGAGCTCCAGCCTCCTGGCTCTCGTGACCACTGAGGGAGTGAGCCAGCACACAGAAGCTCTCTCTGTGTCTCTCCCTGTCATTCCACCTTTCAGATAAACACAGGTACCTTTAAGAAGAAAACTGACAGTATGAAGACACGGGGCAAGAGCACGCCCACACCCCCGCACGATGTAAATGCTTCCAACAGCGGAAAACTGCCCGCGTCTGCGGAGGGCGAACCTCGCAGCCCCGGAACCCACTCGGCTGTGCGACTGCCGGGGTGCGCAGATGGGCCTGACGGTCACAGCAACACTGCACGCAAGAGTCCCTGGGGACCACCTGTCCGCCACAACACGACAGGCGGGTGCACACCAGCAGATCCACGCACCGGAAACCGCGTGGCAAGGAGACGGCAGGGCCCCGCACCAGGAGAAATCCCACAAACACCACGGAGCGGGAGAGGCAGGCAGAACGGGCATGCGCTGCAGGAATCCACGCCCACGGGTTCAAAGAGGGGCAAGACGACCGGGGGGGGGGGGCACCAGGACAGCGGCTCCCTGGTGGCAGCAGTGACCGCAGGGTTCTGGGGGTCCCGCGGGGGCTTCATTTCTCAACCTTGAAGGTGTTCTGCAGGCTGTTTCCTGTGGGACAATCTGCTGAGCTTTTAGGGTTTGGGCACATTTTCTTATGCATATTATTGTAATTCAGTAAGACGTTTACTTACAAAGAAACACCTAGACCAGTCAATATAAAAATCAGGGATTTGTGAGCTTGAAGGCGGGCACATCGGGACTGCAAAGCCGCGACAGCAAAGAGCTCGCAGGCACTGGCGCTGGGTGGGGAGGCCGCCCCTGGAGAGGCCGCGGAAGGAGGAGCAGAGGAGCTGGCAGGAGGGGGAGCCGGGGGGACCAGAGAGGGGCTTCCAGGACAGCGGGGGAGACAGGAGAGACTCCGGTGCCCTGCGTGTGGCAAGGCAGGGGCTGGGTGTGGTGCAGGGGTGCAGAGACGAGTGAGGCCACCAGGGGTCTTGAGACCTGAGACACTGGCAGGACGGGGCGTCCCTGAGGGGAGGAGCAAGCAGCTGTCCCTGAAAGGGGCCTGCGGCCAGGGAGGGAGAGGAAGGGACCGGGAACCAGTGCAGCTCACGGCCCTGACGCGTCACTCTGGGAGGAGCCCAGCGCACCCAGCTCACGGGGCCTCCAGACAGGAAGCGCACAGGGCAAGCCCTCAACCAACAGCCACCCCAAGTGCAGCTGCCACTGCCCCGGTACAGAACCCGCAGACCAGCCTCCCGAGCGCGCAGGCCGGCTCCAGCCCGCGGAGGGCAGGCCCCGGCCCAGGCTCCGAGTGGTGCTCTGGCCGCCTTCCAGCCGGACAGCAGCCTGCGAGGCGACTCTACCTGCTTGGAGTAGATCCTGAGCAGCCTGTTGACGGGCGTGCCCTCGCTGTCGCCGTCAAACTCCAGCCAGAGGACGGGCTCCTCCTCCTCAGGGGAGGTGTGGTCCCACGACAGCTCCTGGAAGCGCAGGCCCAGCAGGACGTGCTGGCCGGCGGGAGACACGGTGAGCTGGGACTGTCGTGCAGAGGCCTGCTCCCCCCCGACCCACGGGGCAGTGGCCTCTCACCAGAACCTCAGAGCGGGCTGAGGTCCAGGGAGCAAAGAACGCCAGCCCACGACGCTTGCCCCGGCGGGGCAGGCCCCTGACAGCTGCAAGTCATATGGGGAGCAGGGCCCAGCACACAGCCGGGGTCCCTCTCTGGGGACAACCACAACTCAGCCAAGACTTGTGTGGGCTGATGCAGGGACTCCTGCCCAGGTGCAGGGACGCTGCCCCAGCGCCTTCGACACAGGCGCCCAGAGAACGGTCAGCGGCCAACGTAGGGACAAAAGCAGGACAGACGGCCCAAGAGTGCAACCAGCCACTGACCCATCTGGAAAACGACCAACCCCTGGCCAGAGCAGCCAGACTCCCTCCCTGACCCGCCCTGGCCGCCCGCCTGGAGGAGGTGATCAGGGAAGTCCTCAGGAGACACGGAAGACTGCGGCCCCCTCCCGGTGTCCACCCCGAGCCCAGGGCAGCCACCCACTCTTGCCCCGAGGGATGGCAGCTGTACCTTCTCCCTGTGGTCGATGACGTGCACGCCCTCCAGACTGATGGCCACGGTCACCGGCTTGCGCCCGCCCCGGTGCAGGAAGCCCTGGGCCGGCTTGTCGATCTCGCCGTGGAAGAAGGCACACCTAGGGAGGGACTCGGTCAGCAGCTCCCTCTGGGAGGTCTGCTCCGGCCCTGGCCCTGGCCTCTGCAGCTGTCTGGGTACAGAACCTGTCCCGGAGAGAGGAACTCCAGCTGGCTGAGCACGAGGGCCTGGGTGGTGGCACACGGGGGGCTGTGACCCGGGTCGGGGCACAGCTGGCTCTGTGCAGGCACTGCGAGGAGCCCTGGGGACGGGGGCTGAGGCCACGTCGGATGGGAGGACCCCACGGCCCACCGTCCAGGGCAGAGACCTCTCAGCACTGGGACTTGCTGGGACACACCGGAAGGCAGGGCTGTGTACGTCAGTGGCTTCTGGCCTGAGACGGAGATGGAGGGGAAGGTGTGGTGCCTTCTCCCACCTGCACGGTGACACTCCCACTCAGCCAAGCCAGAGCCGAGTCAGATCCCACTCTGGCTAGGCCCTGGGACAGGACGGGACACCAGCACAGGCCACTGTGCCCCGGAGGGTGCCCTGCTCCTGTGGCCCTCTGTTGGAAGCTTCCTATACCCCCGTCTCCAGGCCCAGATGAGGACATGGAAGCAGCTGGAACAAGGCCACTCACCACTGGACCGCTCCTAGCAGTGCACGTGTGTGTGTGCACATGCACGAATGCACGTACAATGTATACACGCGCACAGTGCACACACACACACACAGTGCACACACACAGTGCACACGTGTGCACACATGCACATACTATCACTCTGCCCATCACAACGGAAAGACCCCTCAGCACCACCGCCCCACTTCTGATCTGTGCCACAGCTGAGCTCCCCGCGAGAGCTCCACGCGGGTCTCTCACCCCCTCCTCGTCCCTCCAGCCACGGCCACCTCCACTGGGCGGGAGCTGAGGTCAGCCTCACAGCCAGCCACCACCCCGGAGCCGCCCTCGAGGCCCTGCTGCCCCTCCCCAGGCCGTCTCTGGGGGCCATGAACTTCAACACCTTCCACACCCTGAGGGGTCCCCGATGACTCCGCCCAGCTCAGCCGTCTCCCCAGCTCCAGACCGAAACTCACATGGCCAGCCTCGTAACAAGTGTCAGAACCAAGCGCCCCACTGCCCCGTCTCGGCTCAGACAGCTCGGCCACCGGCTGCTCAACCAGCAACCGGCAGTCCTCGCCGCCTCCTGTGCTGCGCACCTGTCAGCAAATCCTGCCGGCCCCCACCCTGTGATGGCCCCGGCTGCCGCATGTCACCCTCCCCTGGCTCACGTGGGCACAGCCTCCCGTGGGCTCCCCGCTGCCCCCTGCAGGCGATCCGCTGCCCGGACTGCTCCCGCCCCTCCACGCAACGTCCGCTTCACTGGACACTGCGGCCCCCTGGGGCCTACCAAGTGCCCAGCAGGCAGTGGTGCCTGAGAGCTGGCTGAAGGGACAGCCAGCTGGACCAGGGACCAAGTGACTGTGGCCGGTGTTAGAGGACCTGTGCCAGGCGTCCTAGGCTGCGGCAAGGAAGGGAAGAGGCCAGGGGACCGGCTGGGGATGAGTGGGGCCTGAGGTGCTGGCACGGCACGGACGCTGTTTCCCAGGAGGCAGCACAGGAAGGCCTGAGGACGGTCTACTGGGCAGGGCCGGCCGGCCCCAGGGCTGCGGCTGCTCACCCGTAGAAGGGTAGCTCGTGGCACCGGAGGACGTAGGCACGGTAGTGGGTGCCCAGGGTGGCCTCGCGCTCACTGCCCACGGCTTCCTTCACCTGGCGGTAGGCATCCAGCAGGCCCTGCTCGCCCGTCGCAGCCTTGGCCCCACGGCCCCGGAGAGCAGCAAAGAGACCGTGGCCCCGCTTGCAGAGGTGGGCAGGGAGGAAGGAGTCCAGCTTCTCCCTGTGGAGGAAGCAGAGGGAGCTGAGGTCTCGGGGTGTAGGTGCCTGGCTTGGAGCCTCACCAGCACCCTGCCCTGGACATGGCCGCCAGAGAGATCCCCGCCACCTCTGTCCCAGCGGGCGCCCAGGAAGCCTGGCCCAGGGGGCTGACCCTGCCGCTGGGGGGAGAGCTGTGAGTGGGGAGAAGACGGGCGACGAGGGGACACACGAGCTACTGCCGAGGCAGGGCTGGGGGAGGTGGACACAGGCACAGGCGGGGCTGGGGAGCTGGATGCAGGCACAGGCGGGGCTGGGGGAGCTGGATGCAGGCACAGGCGGGGCTGGGGGAGCTGGACACAGGCAGGGCTGGGGGAGGTGGACACAGGCACAGGCGGGGCTGGGGGAGGTGGACACAGGCACAGGCGGGGCTGGGGAGCTGGATGCAGGCACAGGCGGGGCGGGGGGAGCTGGACACAAAGGCGGGGCTGGGGAGCTGGACACAGACACAGGCGGGGCTGGGGAGCTGGCCTCAGGCACAGGCAGGGTCACCGCCCGCGCTGCACAGGTCAGGCCTCAGAGCTGGGCCGTCTGCCACTGCCGCCCCAGCTGTCGACCGGCAGGAGGCACTGCTGTTCCCGGGCCCCCCGCCCACACCCAGAGCAGGGACGGCAGCAGCCCCACAGCCCAGGGTGACAGTCGCCGTGACCCTAGCACAGGCCCGCAGTCACCATCTCCAGCCACACCCCCACCTGCTGCTCCAGGCACCAGTGCTCCCGGCACAGGAAGCCCGGCCCTCGCCTGCCCCAGCTGAGGGCGCCCTGCGCAGCACACGGTGTCGGCAGGAGGCCGGCCTCCCTCCTGGCCAGGAAACACACAGGAGCACCTCCAAGCCGGCAGACCCCGGGAGCCCCAGGAAGAAAGGGAACACCCGGGGCCAGCCCTGTGTCACAGAAGGTAAGGCTCCGCCTGTGGGGTCAGCATTCCATATGGGTGCTGGTTCGAGTCCCGGCTGCTCCACTTCCAGCCCCAGCCTTCAATCCCCCACATGGGTCCCCGCCTCCTCACTCTCCTACCCCACCCGTGTAGGCAGGGGGGTGGCCTGGCTAGGAACAGGCCGGCCTGCAAGCTCATGGCCACTCAACTACCTCCAAGCCCCAAGTCACCCCCTAGGGGTTCACAACACCCACGGCAGCCTGGGCCCTGCCGACTCACGGCAGACGGCACAGCGGGGAGAGCTGGCAGAGCCGAGGGGCTGGGGCGTGGGCCGTGTCCCTGGGCTCGGAACTGAGCTGGGTGCCGGGGAGGGGCCAGTGTTTGGTGGGTCCCTGGCCGTGGCTCGGCCCTCGCCCCCCATGCACACCCGGGGCCCCTCGGCCTGAGGACTCCTCTCACAGATGCCCCTTCACCTGCAGCGAGACGGGGCGCTGGCCCTTTGACCCGAGGACTGCACCCCACCTTGCAAGACCAAACACCCCCTGAGGGTGGGGTTCTGGGGCAGGGGCCCCGCCTCACCTCAAGGCGCAGGCCGCAGGCTGGCCGGGCTGGTAGGGCCCAAGCTGCACGCGGCACACCAGGGCGCCCAGTGCCTCGCAGTCCTCCGGGTCGCATGGGTACCGCGCGGTCAGCACGTTGCCCTTGGCCTCCTCGTAGAGCAGCCGCAGGACCTCCTCATCCTGGATCTGTGGGCCAGGGTGGCAGGGGCCGCTCAGCCGGGGCTGGGGCCGGGGCTGGCTGGGCACGGGGCCCCGGGCCTGGGAGGCATCGCCCAGGCTGCCCGCCTCACCTGGAGCTCCCGCCGCTTTGGGAAAAACACGTTCCTTCGGAACTGGAGGGAGGGCTCATCTGGGGAGAGACGCTGGCGTCACCGCCGGGCCCAGCCTCTCGGCCCACCTGCTCCTCACCTTGCCCACCACGGCCTTCCCAGCCCACCCCACTCCAGGCTCCTCCAGGGACCTGCCCCACGGGGGGCCTGGCTGGCTGGGAGCTGGGGCAGGCGCGGCAGGGGCAGCACTGACCCATGGCCACGTCGTCGTCCGGCGCGTCGGTGAAGCGCAGCAGCAGTTCCGGCCACTGGCGGCCCAACTTGTAGGGCTGGTGCTTGGGCTTCAGCTGCACCTCTGGGGGCAAGAGGGGAGGAGCCATGCAGCCTCTGACCGGCCTGTGGCCGCCCACCCACCTCTCACGACGGCAGCGGCCACAGTGACAATCGGAACTAAGCAGGCACCCTGCGGGACCCCTACCCTCTCCCCACTTCACCACTGCGAGAGCGAGGGAGAGGGGAGGAGCCATGCAGCCTCTGACCGGCCTGTGGCCGCCCACCCACCTCTCACGATGGCAGCGGCCACAGTGACAATCGGAACCAAGCAGGCACCCTGCGGGACCCCTACCCTCTCCCCACTTCACCACTGCGAGAGCGAGGCTCGGAGAGGCTACGGCGCTTCTCCGAAGCCGTCTCTCGAAGGCAAGACCGGTCCGGCGCCAGGCGCGGCCAGCCGCTGACTGTTGGCAGCAGCTGAGGCTGGCGTGGCCGGGGGGTCAGCAGTGGTGGCATGGCGGGACCCAGCACTGCAGTCCCACCCCCAGTGCGGCCACGGGGAGCTCCTGCCACCGCCCTCCCACCACATCCCTGTCTCCTCGTCCTCCCCCACCCTGCTGCTCCCACAGGGGCCTTCTGGGCTCCAGATCGGTCCCAGCCGGTTTGGGCCCCCAGGCCTTCGCGCCTGTCACTCCTGCGGGCTTGGCCACCCTTTCCCAGCCCTCAAGAGCTGGCCAGGTCTTGGGCCACCTGTGCTCAAGCCCAAACTCTAGCAGCCCCTCCTCGGAACCCCGGCACACTGGGTGCACCGTTTGCTTGCTTTCGCAGTGTGGACCACCAGTGCCCACCTGGGATGGCAGGGGCAGGGGGCGGGGGCAGGGCAGGGGCCGGGCGGGGGCAGGGCAGGGGTGGGGGCGGGGTGGGGGCGGGGCGGGGCAGGGGCAGCACAGGGGCAGGGGCAGGCTCTGTCTTGTTCGCTGCTGTATTCCTGGCCCACACTGGGCCTTCGCTGCACGCTCCACACACGGCCACGCGGCCCCTGGGCTACTGGCCAGAGATGGCAGGGTGGCCCCAGAGCTTGCACCAGCTGGGGTGCTGCCTTTGAGACGTGAGAGGCCATTTCCGGCCTCTACACATGGATGGAGATCTACGTCCAAGGTGCCCCCCACCCCTCCCTGGCTCCACTGATGGCCACCCGCACCCTGACCTCGACCCCAGCGCAGTCGCAGCCGGGGAACCGAGTCCCTTCCTCCGCTTGCCCGGCCTCTCTGGTCCCACCACTTCTGATCAGGTTCTACAGAAGCTCCAGGCCCTCTTTTCCACCCAGCTCCTGCCACGCTCCCCCCAGCAGCGCCTGCTATGCCCTCTGCGCACCGTGCCCTCTCCCAGCGACCCGCTCGGGACCCGCTCGGCCCTCAGCAGCTCCACCCAGGAGCTCCTGGGACAAGAGAGGCTGGCAGAGGCCTCCGTCTTAATTAGACTTGTTTCTGACTGACACGACAGAGCGGCGGAGACGCCGTCCCAGGGCCAGAGGGAGGACTGTCCCGGGAGTCTGGCTGTCATCTGCTTGCCTGTGAAAGCTTCCACCATAGTTACTTTCTGCTACCATGTAACCACGTCGGTTCTGCCTGCGGCACAGCGCAGTGGGGAGAACCCTGGAGGGGGCTCAGTACGCGGTGGAAGACCCATCACAGAAACTATGTACCCCTGTGCAGTACTGTACCCACTCCTGCTGGGTACACAGGTGCAGTACTGCAGCCACTCCTGCTGGGTACACCTGTGCAGTACTGTATCCACTCCTGCTAGGTACCCCTGTGCAGTACTGTACCCACTCCTGCTGGGTACACCTGTGCAGTACTGCAGCCACTCCTGCTAGGTACCCCTGTGCAGTACTGTACCCACTCCTGCTGGGTACACCTGTGCAGTACTGCAGCCACTCCTGCTGGGTACACCTGTGCAGTACTGTACCCACTCCTGCTAGGTACCCCTGTGCAGTACTGTACCCACTCCTGCTGAGTAAACACATGCAGTACTGTACCCACTCCTGGGGTTGTCCTGCGCATGAGACCCTCCCGTCCAATGCACGCCTGCAGCTGTATAAGGGAGGCAAAGAGGCCGACACCAGAAACAAGGAAGTACTCCCGCCTTCCTCTGGGCTCAGATCTTGGGTATGAAACCCCACCTGGGCCTCTGCCCACATAAACAGTAAGAGCCGCTTCCTGCTAAAGGCTCTGGCGTCACGTCTCTGCACACGCAAGGCGGGCCCGAGCTCAGGCCCTGGGCCTGCAGGCGGCAGGGGCGGCAGGGCCACACGGAGTCAGTGCCACACCAGGGACTGAGCTCTGCTTCCCCGTCTCCCTTCACCTCGCTTCTGTTTTTAACCACATTTAATTATTTGAAAGGCAGAGTGACAGAGAGAGAGAGGAGGAGAGAGAGCGCTTCCAAGGCAGCTGGGGTTGGGCCAGGCGGAGGCCAGCGCCCAGAAACCCATCGGGCCTCCCGCGTGAGCAGCAGACCCAAGCTCTTGAATCACCCCGGGCCTTGCCACGCGCATTAGCAGGAGCCGGCTGGGAAGTGGGGCGGCTGGACTGAAACGGCTCTCAGACCGCGGGGAGCGCCGGCGTCACCTAGCCTCACGGAGCGGCAGCTTCCCCACACTTCCCGTCGGAGTTCTCCGAGGGCAGGGACGCCATCCGTCCTTCCCGGGCACGTCAGGGTCCAGGATGCGGCTTGGCCCAGGGCGGGCTTTGCACATCCTTGAGTACTGAAGAAGGTAGCAGACCAGCACGGGCCACAGGACAGCGTGGGCGAGGACGGACCCGGGACGGACGCCTTCCTCCTGCCCGCAGCCCAGCCCTCACGCCGAGCCGTGGGGGCTCGCGGAAGCCCGTCATGTGAGCAGGTCAGCACGGAGACCCCGCTGGGCGCCACCCCCCACAGGGAGTGTCTGCCTCCAGTCCCGGCTCTGCCGCACAGACGGAAGAGGTCTCTCTGTCCCCCTGCGTCTCTCTGCCTTTCAGGTAACTCTAACGCTTCTGAGAGAGCAGGCACGGTGCGGTGCCGACCCTGCGGTCCCACGGCTGGCTGGAAGGGGCCCTCCTGCCAAGGCCGTCACCTAGCGGAGACAGGTGGCCCCAGGAGCTCTGCTCCGGGCGGAGAATGGCAGCACCGAAATGGCCGAACACCACCGACACACCCAGACAGCAGGCGAGGGCCGGGCCCAGCAGAGGGCGCCCCTCCCCGCCCAGCAGCATGACTCCCAGAACGCGGTGGGAGAGGACTTCAGGCAGCCCAGCCTGGGAACAAAGTGGGTGCTGACCCTGGGCCGCGGGAGCCACACAGCACAAGCAGCCCTTTCACACTTCCACGGGACAGGAATGTGCGGGGGCGGAGCGGGGGCGGAGGAAGCAGGAAGGGGAAGGGGGCCGTGCGGACACAGCGCCCTCTGCAGGCCCAGCAGCCGTCCTGCGCAGACAGTGTGCCGGCAGAGGGGACAGGGCAACAGGAAGAGGGTGGGCGAGGGCCTCCGGGCAGCCGCCCAGGACGCCACAGCTGGTGGGGGCGCCCCACCCCGCCCCAGAGCCAAGGGAGGCCCTTCCTGTCCAGCCCCAGGGCTCAGAGACCCTACTCACCCCGTGACCCCCCAGGCTGAGGGTCTGCAGCAGGACCCTGCCCACGCCCACCCACCTGGGATCCAAGCCTGCCGGGACAGGGCGTGGGCGGTCACAGGGCCCAAGGAGCCCATGCTGTCCTCGCCACCTGAGGGGTGACTGTGCCCTCACCCTCTTTCCTGCCCACGAGACACTGCGCTGTCCTGGCCCTGCCTCTCACTGGTCTCGCCTCTCCAAACGTCACGTTTCTCCTCCGCAAGACACGCCTGGGCCATGAGGCCACGGTGACCTCACGCCCAGCCTGCCAGCACAGTGGCACAGTGTCCTCGCGAACAGCGACCCCGGCCCTCCCTTGGTGACCTCACGCCCAGCCTGCCAGCACAGTGGCACAGTGTCCTCGCGAACAGCGACCCCGGCCCTCCCTTGGTGACCTCACGCCCAGCCTGCCAGCACAGTGGCACAGTGTCCTCGCGAACAGTGGCCCCAGCCCTCCCTCGCCCAGCCCCACTCCCCCGCGTCCTAGGCTCCGCTACCACGGAGGTGAGGGCAGGCTTGGCCGCCAGCATAAAGCAAGCCGGCAGAGGAGCCCAGGACTCCTCGGGGCTCTGGGCCCCCAGGGGGTGCACCGTGCAGGACCCCCGCGAGTCCCCCTTCCCGCCCCGCCCAGGCGTCTCCCTGGGGAGCCTTACCCAGCAGAGGGGAGACGAGCCAGAGTGCAAAGGCCTCCAGGGCGACGTCAGGGAGTTGCAGCACCTCGCGGACCGCGCGGTGCAGCTCCTGGGCGCTGAGCGCGGGCAGGTTCTCCACCGCCAGGGGCACCACGCTGTCATCCGCCAGGTACACCAGCACGTCCGCCGCTGCTGCGGGAGGGGCCGGCGGCTCAGCTGCGACCCTGCCCAGCTGCCCAGGCAGCCTCGGAAGAGACGCCCCAGCACCCCCAAGGGAGCCTGCCAAGAATGCTGTGGGGACCTGGGACCCTCAAGCAACCTGGAACCCCGTGTCTACAGCCCCGGGCCGGAAGAGGACCCTAAGAGTCTCTCAGGGTCGGCCAAGGCAGCCCCTCCCAATGCACACTCACTCACACACTCATTCTCTCACACACTCACTCACACCCACACTCAGCAGCCCCAAGGGCTCTGGTGCCCTCTGCCCTGAACAAGGACATTCCAGGCGCCAGCGCTGTGGCGTAGCGGGTAAGGCCGCCGCCTGCAGTGCCGGCATCCCATAGGGGCGCCGGTTCCAGTCCCGGCTGCTCCATTTCCGATCCAGCTCTCTGCTGTGGCCCAGGAGAGCAGTGGAAGATGGCCCAGGTCCTTGGTCCCCTGCACCTGCATGGGAGACCTGGAGGAAGCTCCTGCCTCCTGACTTCAGGTCAGCTCAGCTCCGGCCGTTGCAGCCATCTGGGGAGTGAACCAGTGGATGGAAGACCACTGATTCTCTCTCTCTCTGACTCTGCCTCTCAAATAAATAAATAAATCTTTAAAATAAATAAAATGTAAAAATATTTTAAAAATAAAAAATGGATAAGGAAGGAAGGGGCCCTCTCAGACGCGGCTGAGCCGGGCCCGAGGCGCCAGTCGTCGGCCGGGAGCCCAGGAGGGCAGAGGCTGGACGCCCATGGGTGCGTGATCCGAATCCCCAGCCCGAACCGCGAACTCGGTGACCGACACGGCACGGGAGGCCGGCGTCCTCGCGTCCCAAGTGCCTGGTCTCCGGCCGGACCGCGGGAAACGGAGGCTCCGGTCACGCGCTGGGGTCCAGGGTGCGAGGCCACGCAGCCCACCCCTGTCATCTCAGGGATCTCCCTGCACCTGGGCGCCCGCCCCTTCTACACCGAGAGCAGGGAGGGCTGCCCTGGCCCCAGCTGGGGACGGAGCCCGGGCGGTGCTCTACGTGTGTCCAGCATCCCCAAGTCCTTTATTCCCTAACGAACGCATAAAACCATCTCGAGTGGACAAGGAACCCGGCCAGGGCCACCCCCCAGGCCTGCCCCAGGAGACGGGAACTGGAACCCACCTCGGGCGCCCACAGACGACACGCTGCTGCGGTGGGACCGCTCCGCGGGGCCGGGCTGCCCGCCACTGCCTTCCGTCCCGTCCATCTGTGAAGACAGAACCCATGGTCACAGCGGGTCCAGGGCCGGGGGCAGCGGCGGCGGGGGCCGGGCGGGGGCGGGGGCGTCACCTCAAGCTCCCAGGGAGCAAGGTAAGCGTCCCGGGCTGAGTCGACCAGGATGAGCGGCGCTGGCTGGAGTGGACGTCGTGTCCCTCTGCCGGGTCGAGGTGGGGTCGGGTCAAGGGAGTGACGGTCAGGAGCGGGGGTCGCGGGTCGGGGGCGGCTCGCCCAGATGCGCAGAGTTACGGGCTACGGCGCACCCCGGCCCGCAGTCGCCGCGCTCTCACCTCACGAGGACGCAGGGCCCGTCGTCTCGGGCCAGGCCCCTGCCCTGACTCCGGCCCCTCGTTCCGCCCCCGCCGACACCCGGGACCTCGCAGCCGCTCCCGCCGCTGGGCAGCGACGCGGAAGCAGCCGCCGGAGGAAACGCAGCACAGAGGCCCCGCCCCGTCCCCGGGAGCCAATCGGAGCCCGGAAAGCCGCGCGCGCGCCTCCACGCCCCCGGCAGGCCCGCGCATGCGCAGACGCCCCGGACGCCTGTCTCCGGTGTCCGGCCACGCCCCTGGGCTGGGGGTGTGGAGACCTAGCCCGGCGTCCAGCCCAGGGGCCCGGCGCGAGCATCCCGTGCCCGGCGTAGCCCCTGACTGTTGACCTGTAGCAGGGTGTGGGGAGGATTCAAGAAGTTCCAAAGACTGCGAGCTTTAACGCTGGCCCTCCCTGGGACTTGGGGCCGCTCTCCCTAACCTGTGAACGGGGATGCCCCCGGGGGTGAACCGGCACCCACACCTGGGCGCTGGGAAAGCCGCCGCCAGCGCCCCTGGTCCGGTCCGCCCCTGGTCCTGGTCCGGTCCCTTCCCCATCCATGACCTCCAAGCACCCGCCCCTTCTCGAATTACAGGTCTGTGTCGGAAACCCAGGCCAGGTGCAACCACGCGAGCCCTCACTATCTTAGATACACAACCTCGGAGACCTTGAGATACGCGCAGGCTGCGAAGGGGGAGGCGTTGGGGCCCACGGAGGCAGGTGTGAAGCCACCTGTCCCCCGGTCACATCACCAGTGCTAGCGTGTGTGTGCCTGAGGCGGGCAGCTCCTGGAGAAAAACAGGTCCCAGGGAAGCCTGCCCGGGCCAGAGGAACCAGACAGCTCCAGGCGACACGGGGCTCAGGGACCAGCAACAGGGGGAGGTGGGTTCCCCTGGCCCTGACTCCCAGCTGCTGCAGTCCTGGCCTGATGCTGCCCTTCAGGGTCTGAGGCAGCTCCTTGGCTGCCCTCCCAGGACCCACACTGCCCCACAGCCGAGCCCATTATAATCTGCCTTCCTGCCTTCCCACTGCTCCCACGTGGGTCTCAGCTCAGGGAATGCAGGCCCAGGGGCGACCTGGAGAGAGAGGAGGACGCCCAGAGAACAGCAAGTCTAAATCCACAGGGCTGGGGCCGGGGTGAAGCTGCCGCCTGTGACGCTGGCATCCCCATGTGGGCACTGGTTCGAGTCCCAACTGCTCCACATTTTTTTTGTTTTTGTTTTTTTTTTTTTTTTCACATTTTTTTTTTAAAGATTTATTTATTCGAAAGAGTTACAGACAGAGAGACATCTTCCATTCATTAGTTCACTCCCCCAAATGGCCACAGTGGCCAGGGCTGGGTCAGACTGAAGCCAGGAGCCAGGAGTTTCTTCCAGGTTTCCCACGCGGGTGCAGGGGCCCAAGCACTCGGGCCATCCTCCGCTGCTCTCCCGGGTGCGTTCGTACAAAGCTGGATCGGAAGTGGAGCAGCCAGGACTCGAACCGATGCCCACCTGGGACAAGGGCGTCACCAGCAGCGGCTTTTCCTGCCACGCCACACCACCTCTGACCCAGCTGCTTGCTAATGCGCCTGGGAAGACAGCAGATGGCCCAAGTCCTTCGACCCTGCACCCGTGTGCAAGGCCTGGTTGGAGTTCCAGGCTCTGGCTTCAGCTTGACCAGCCTCAGCCGCTGCAGCCATTTGGGGCCGTGAACCAGCAGATAGAATCTCTCTCTCTCTCTGTCTGTAACTCTGCCTTTCAAATAAAGAAATAAATCTTAAGAAAGAAAGACAGAGTGCAGGGCACAAAACACAGCAGACAGGAAGCGCAGGGCGGCCAGTTCCTGAGTGGCTGCTGTGCGCTGGACACGGGGCCAGGCCATTTCCTGTTTCCTCATCCCGCCCTCATGCGCCCTGTCAGTGGAAAGAGGAGAACGTGTGCTGTCAGACACGTCTCTGAGTTCTGACCCTGCGAGCACAGGGGAGGTGAGTGTCGGTGGACCTTGTGGTTATGCCACCGTTTGCGTCGCCGGCATGCATATGGACTGCGGGCTGGGGTTCCAGCTCCCTGCTAATACTCCCGGGACAGCGGCGGAGGATGGCTCCAGTCCTTAGGCCTCCGCCGCCCGCGTGGGAGACCTGGATGGAGTGCCTGGTCCCTGGCTCCAGCCTGGTCCAGCCAAGGCTGTTGCAGCCATCTGTGGAGCGAACCAGTAGATGGAATCAATCTCTTTCTCTCTCTCTCTCTCTCTCCCCTCTGTGTCACTCTGCCTTTCAAATACATAAATAAATACCTTCTTAAAAAGATGTGTTTATGTATTTGAAATTCAGTTAGAGAAGGAGAGGCAGAGAGAGAGAGAGAGGTCTTCCAACCGCCGGTTCACTCCCCGGATGGCCACACGGCCAGAGCTGCTCATCTTCTGCTGCTTTCCCAGGCCACAGCAGAGAGCTGGATTGGAAGTGGAGCAGCCGGGACTCGAACTGGCACCCACACGGGATGCTGGCACTGCAGGCGGAGGATTAACCAACTGCGCCATGGCGCCGGCCCCTGCGTGCGCTGTTCTAGGCCTCTGAGACGCACAGTGAACAAAGTGGCTGGAGGGCCTCATGCCCAGACAGCCGTGGAGCAGAGGGGCCGACTGCGAAGGGCTGTGAGCTGACCCAGGCCCAGGGCGAGGGAAGAGGGAACAGTGCAAAGGCCCGGGGGCGGGGCCTGCTTGAGGAAGAGGCTGGGGCGGAGCATGCAGGGGAGGGGGAAGGGGTGGCCCCTGAGGGCTCACGGTGCCTAGAGAAAGGATCAGGGGTGTTTTCTACTCTTAATTTCTTTCTTCTTTTTTTTTCTTCTTTCTTTTTTTTTTTTTTTTTTTTTTTTTTTTTTTTTTTTTTTTTTTTGACAGGCAGAGTGGATAGTAAGAGAGAGAGACAGAGAGAAAGGTCTTCCCTTGCCGTTGGTTCACCCTCCAATGGCCGCCGCGGCCGGCGCACTGCGGCCAGCGCACCGCGCTGATCCGATGGCAGGAGCCAGGCACCCCTCCTGGTCTCCCATGGGGTGCAGGGCCCAAGCACCTGGGCCATCCTCCACTGCACTCCCTGGCCACAGCAGAGAGCTGGCCTGGAAGAGGGCAACCGGGACAGAATCCAGCGCCCCGACCGGGACTAGAACCGGTGTGCCGGCGCCGCAAGGCAGAGGATTAGCCTAGTTAGCCGCGGCGCCAGCCTCTACTCTTAATTTCTAAAGCAAAGCCATTTATTTCTCACAGTTTGGGAGGCTGGGAAGTTCAAGCCAGGGGCTGGCACCGTGGTGTAGGCTAAGCCGCTGCCTGCAGTGCCGGCATCCCATATGGGCGCCGGTTCAAGTCCCGGCTGCTCCACTTCCGACCCAGCTCTCTGCTGATGGCCTGGGAAAGCAGCAGAAGATGGCCCAAGTCCTTGGGCCCCTGCACCCGTGTGGGAGACCCGGAAGAAGCTCCTGGCTTCAGATCAGAGCAGCTCCGGCGCTGTGGCCATCTGTGGCGTGGACCAGCGGGTGGAAGACCTCCCTTTCCCTCCCTCCCTCCCTCCCTCCCTCCTCTCTCTCTCTCTCTCTCTCTCTCTCTCTCTCTCTCTCTCTCAAATAGATAAACACAGACATTCAAGAAGTAGAAGCAGCTGCTTGCTTTGCTGCGTCCTCCCGAGCGGAAGCCGGAGCAGAGCAGGTCGGGCCTGACTGCGAGCAGGACGAGGCCCGGCAGACAGGCCGTCCTTTACGGTCACCGCGCCCCCCTCTGCGCTGTGCTCTGACTCCCGCAGAGACAAAACCAGTGCAGGGGCGAGGCGGGCCGCGGGGCCGGGTGACTCAGGCCTGGGAGCCGGCTCCCCTCCCGCCCTTCCCACCCTGTCCCAAAGCCAAGGCTGACGGTGGCTGCCCCCTGGTGGCCAGGCTGCGTCTGCCCCTGCCCTCCTCCTCCTCCTCCTCCTCCTTCTCCTCCTTCTCTTCAAGTCTCAGGGTCACTGAAGTTGGCTGGGCACCGGGCCATCTCGCGCCCTCCAGCCACGGTTAAATATTAGTTGGGAGTTATCAGTGCAGACTCCGGGGAGGAAGGGGAGGAGAGGACGGCATGAAACGTTCCCATCTCTGCGCAGCCGCCAGTTCCCGCACAGCCCGACCATGCCCGTGGAGGAGTTTGTGGCCGGCTGGATCTCTGGTGAGATGGTCTTCTTCCCCTGTCAACGTCGCCCTCAGCGGGGGCACTTCCTGGGGAAGGGGGGACACAGGAGAAGCTGAGGCCTCCGGCCTGGCTCCCCCAGAGTGCCCCCTCCCGAGCCAGCCTCCTGCAGTGCCCCGGGAGAGAAGAAGGGAGGGGAGGGGAGGAGAGGGAGGAGCAGGTGGAGAGGCCGCTTGTGTGTCCCAAGCCCACTCTGCCGGACCCCAGCCAAGGGCTGGAGAGCCAAATAGCAGCTGCACCCCGGCCCTGTGTCCAGGCCCACCTGTGGGGCCCGGACAGGAAGTTCACCTTTGACCTCACCTGCCGTCCTGAGTTGCCCTTGGGCCTCTGCCCTACCTGGCAGTGGGTTGCACTCCTGTTTGCTGTGGGCCCAGCCCGCTCCGGGGTGATGTTCCCCCTAGGAGAAGGAGCGGGGCACAGCCAACCCGCCTCCAGGGGACACGACCTCTGTGCTGGAAGACTGGGAGTGGGGAGGTGGCCAGCTCGGGGAAGGGGTCCCCCTCCTGGGGGCCACAGCTTCTCCTGAGGGCACTCGGCTCAGCGTAGAGTCCTTCTGAGGCTCCCACTTCTGGGAGCAGCGGTCCCCCCGCCCCAGGTCTGTGGTCAGCCGGGCCTTAATGCGATTCCTTAGGCGGGCCCGGGTCTCACTCCCCTGACCCAGGGCCATCCTGGCCCAGCGCCTGGCGTGGAGGGAGGGGCTGGGCCCTGCAGGACGCGGGCAGCCCAGCCCCCCCCCCCCCCGAGCTCCTCTTCCCGGGCCCTCACGCATAGCGCCTTCTTGTCGCCACAGGGGCTCTAGGCCTGGTCCTGGGACACCCCTTTGACACGGTAAAGGTGAGTGGACGAGAGGCACGAGGGGAGGCCCGGCTGCTAGAGGCTGCCCCTGCCCACAGCCTGCAGCTCGAGGGGCCGGGGGCACAGCGCGCTGCCCGCCCGCCCGCCCGCCCGCCGCACCTGCTGTCTCCTCCTCGTGCAGGTGCGGCTGCAGACGCAGAACAGGTACCGGGGCATCGTGGACTGCTCCGTGAAAATCCTCCGCCACGAGTCGGTAGGTGCCCGCGCGTGGGCCCTCTGTGCCGGCTTCCTTCCCCGCCCGACAGGGCAGGGACCCCCGGGTGGAAGCCAAGTGCCCCCAGGGTGGGACTGAGGTCCTCTCCACCCCAGCCGCTGCCCCCCACCCCGCCCCAGGCAGGGGCCCCCGGGTGGAAGCCAAGCACCCCACCCCAGCCGCTGCCCCCCACCCCGCCCAGGCAGGGACCCCCGGGTGGCCCCGGTGCCTGGGCGGCCAGCGACCCTGTCGCTCCCGCAGGTCCTGGGCTTCTTCAAGGGCATGAGCTTCCCCCTTGCGAGTGTGGCCCTGGTCAACTCCGTGCTGTTCGGCGTCTACAGCAACACGCTGCTGGCCCTCACGGCCACGTCACACGAGCAGCGGCGCGCCCAGCCGCCCAGCTACACCCACGTCTTCATCGCCGGCTGCACGGGGGGCGTCCTGCAGGTGAGCGGGCAGCAGGCGGGCCGCCCACAGGCGGCACAGTGACGGCCACACGGCTGTCCCCTCCCTGCCCTCTCGGGATGGACCGGCCTTTCTGCTGCCCACAGTGGTCCTGCCTGGCTGTGCAGTGGCAGACAGGGAGGGTGGCAGAGGACGGAGGCGGCAGAGGCAGAGAGAGCGCTCGGGTGGCAGCGGGGTCAGGGGTCACACAGAATTGGCCGAAGCCATGCTCGCACGGGCTGGCTGGACTGGCCCACCACCACCGCTGTGGGGAGGCTGCTCCCATGGTGACCTTTGGCCCCGGAGAACTGTCAGCCGAAGCAGAGCTGCCCCCCCACCTGTCACACCCCAGCCCCTCCCAGCTCAGCCCCTGGCAGCGCCTGGAGGTCCCGGGCCACAGAGCTTGCTGGGAGAATCCCAGCTCCCGCTGGTCTCCGCCCTGCCGTGCCCAGGCTTGGGCGGGCAGCAGTGGTGGGCAGGCGAGGCCTCGGGGTCCCAGGGAGCACTGACCCCGCCGCAGAGCTGTGCCGGCTCGGTCCTGCACCCGGCTGCTGCCCGCGTTGCCCTCGTCGGGCCCCTGCCCTGATGCCCCTGATCCACTTCAAAGGGCGGAGGGCGAGGGCAAAAGACCAGGCCTCATGCAAGCGAGTGAATGATTAACCGGCCCACGGGCGCAGCCAGGAAAACAAGAACGAGTCAGCCCTCGGCCGCCGCCCTCGAGCCCCACGGATGGCAGAACCGGCAACCGCAGGGCCACGCTGCCCGGTGGGGCTGGGAGTGGCCGGGCCTCCCCATGTGATGGGTCCCGAGGAGGAGGGAGCGGGACGAGGCGGGGCCTGACGGCCAGAGATGCCCCTAGCTTTGGCCAGCCCTTCCGCTGCCCGTGGGGGCCAGGGCTCAGGTGGACCCCCTCCCCACCAAAGCCCTCAACTCAGCACTGACACCAGGGTCCTCTCACACGCGGCCGCCCCAACCCCAGCCCTGCCTGTGTTGGCGGAAGTCGGAAGTCGGGGAGGACTCGGCCTGCCCCCCTCTGAGGACCATGGCCGGAGCTGCACAGGCACCCCCCCACCTCAGCGGGGGCCCTTGGTTCTCACCTGCCGTCCACAGCTCACCTTGACCTAAACATCAACCCCCAGCACGGGCCCTCCCTCCTGGAGGTCCGGTCCCAGCACTGCCCCAAACCCTCCTCCCATGCGCGATGACCAGAGGGCCAGCGGCATCAGGAGAGGAGGGGGTTGGCAAGGGGCCGGAGGTGGGCTCAGCGCTGCCCCCCAGGGGCCTGGAGGGACTGCGGGCGGGAGGGAGGGGCAGGCCGGCTGGCTGCGGGGGCTGCTGCTGGGGGCGGCGGCCTGTGCACCCCCAGGCCCGCCTGCGGGGAGGCTGAGGCTCTGCTGGGGGCGGCCCCAGCCCCAGCCGGGACCCTCTCCCTGCCTCCCCCACAGGCCTACTGCCTGGCCCCTTTTGACCTCATCAAAGTCCGCCTCCAAAACCAGACGGAGCCGAGAGCGAAGGCAGGGAGCCCCCCGCCGCGGTACCGGGGGCCCATGCACTGCGCGGCCACCATCTTCCGGGAGGAGGGGCCCCGGGGGCTGCTGCGGGGGTCCTGGGCGCTGGCGCTGAGAGACACGCCCACGCTCGGGATGTACTTCGTCACCTACGAGTGGATCTGCCGCCACTACACGCCGGAAGGCCAGACTCCCAGTGAGTGGCGGGGCCGCAGGTGGCCTCCGGGGCGGGGTGGGGAGGTGGGGCGCGGCCCCGGGTCCGACGCCGCCCTGGGCTCCTCCGCAGGCTCGGCCACGGTGCTGGTGGCAGGGGGCTTCGCGGGCATCGCCTCCTGGGTCACGGCCACGCCCTTCGACGTGCTCAAGGCCCGGATGCAGATGGACGGGGTGCAGCAGCGGGCATACCGGGGCATGCTGGACTGCGCGCTGACCAGCTTCCGGCAGGAGGGCCTGGGGGTCTTCTTCCGGGGGCTTACCCTCAACAGCGCCCGTGCCTTTCCCGTCAACGCCGTCACCTTCCTCAGCTACGAGTACCTGCTCCAAGCCTGGAGATGAGCCGGGCCGGGCAGTGCTGGCCGCTCCCAGGCTGGCGCAGGACGCTCGGCCCGCCCCGGCCGGGTCCTCCCGGGGGCCTGGCCGGCGGCGGTGGCACTCCCGCCGCCCCACGCGTTAGGAGCCCTCGGACAGACTCCGCCGGCAGCCGTCACCCCCACACCCGGTGACAGACGCGCGGCTGCCCCCACCCCGGGCCCCTTCAAATCCTGCTCCAGTAACCTGTCACCCCCCACCTCCTCCCCGGGGCCCTCCCTGCTCCCTGGCCGCCCCCTCCCTTGGTGGCTATGGATCTGATGATGCCATGACCCGCGATGGCTTCCCACTGCTCTGAGGCCCTCAGGTAGCCACCTGCTCTGGGCCGCGGCTGCCTTCCGCCACAGGACCCTTGCACCTGCTCCTCTCGCGACCCTCAGCTCTGCCTCTGGCTCATGCTGGTGGCTCAGAATCACCGGGAAGGCTTTTAAGAACGTAGATCGCGGGCCCCACCCCGCAGTCTCTGACCCGGTGGGTTTGGGAGGTTCCCAGGCACTACTGGGGCCAGCCACGCTCCGGGAACCCCGACTTTGCTCTGATGGGCCCCCACGCCCCCTTCTCCCGGCTGTAGCTGCACTCTCCTTTGTGTGGTTTTTGGTTCTGTCCCTCCCGCCTCGTACCGTGAGCTCCATGAGGCTCATGGCCCAAAGTCCCGCTGGAGTGCGCGGTGCTGCAGGAATAGTCGTTCAACAAACGACTGAGCGAAGAAAGGGGGGAGGAGAACTCCGTCCTGGAGGCCGGTGTCGCGGCGCAGGCAGGGGGCCAAGCCTGCAACGCCGGCCTCCCCCTGTGGGTGCTGCTCTGAGCCCCGGCTGCTCCACCTCCGAGGCGTCTGGGAGCAGCAGGTGACGGCCCGGGTGCTCGGTCTCTGCCACCCGCGAGAGGGACCAGGACGGAGTTGCTGGCTGCAGCCTGGCTCCGACCTGGCTGTTGTGGCCGGTTTTTTCTCCGTGTCTTTCTCTCTCTCTGTCTCGGTTGCTCTGCCTTTCAAATAAATAAATCCTTTTTTTAAAAAAAGAGAGAAAAGGAACCAGCATGGTCTTCCTGACTCCTTCGCACAGCAGCCGGTTCCAGGCGGCGTTTGGAGGCCGCTGCCCACCCAGCAAGCAGGAAACGCCCAAGGAACCCCTTGCAAACGGAGACGAGGGCGGTGGGGGCAGAGGGCTGCAAGGAGGCCTCCCCGGCTGACTGTCCACTCCAGGACCCTGGAGCCGAGAGACCGCGAGAGCGGGGCGGGGTCCCAACGCCAAGGACACACAGACCCTGGAGGGGCTACGCCTTCAGTGGAAGGAGGGGAAGCCACAGAGGAACTGTCCTCTGCCCCTCCTGCTGGGAACCAGGCCCGGACCCAGCTGCCCCGCGTGCCAGGAGCCTTGGACCTGCTCCCCCCAAACGCCATCCCCGGGCAGCCTTGCAGGTCTGGGACCCCTGCCTCAGAGAGATATAATGGGTCCTGTTGTTCATAGCGCCCTCTTGTGCCTGGTTGGGCTAACTACAAGTAGTTTTCTTTTTTCCAGATTTTATTTATTTATTTGAGAGGTAGTTACAGTGAGAGGGAGAGACAGAGAGAAACGTCTTCCTTCTGTTGGTTCACTCCCCAGATGGCCGCAGCGGCTGGAGCTGTGCGATCCGAAGCCAGGAGCCAGGAGCTTCCTCTGGGTCTCCCATGCGGGTGCAGGGCCCAAGCGCTTGGGCCATCCTCCACTGCTTTCCCAGGTGCATTAGCAGGGAGCTGGATTGGAAGAGGAGCAGCTGGGACTTGAACCAGCGCCCAGATGGGATGCCGGCGCTTCACGCTGAGGATTAACCTACTGCCGGGCCACGGCGCCGACCCCAACAAGTATTTTTTCTAAAGAAATCAGGATCTTCAAGTTTTTCAGATTATGTCCAACGAATAGTAACCTCAGATAACTTAAGAGCAAAAAAAGCAAAATCGATTTTAAAACGAGCGAAGGGGGTGTTGTGCAGCACCTGGTTAAGCTGTTTGTGATGCCTGCATCCCACGTCGGAGTGCAGGTTCGAGTCCCCACTGCACAGCTTCCGTCCGGCTCCCTGCTGATGCACCCTGGGAGGCAGCAGATGACGGCCCAAGTGCTTGGGCCCCTGCACCCACGTGAGGGACCTGGACAGAGTTCCTGGCTCCTGGCATTGGCCAGTGGTTGTGGGCATTTGGGAGAGTGAACCAGCAGATAGAAGACCTCTCTCTCCCCCCACCCCCATCAGTCTGCCTTTTAAATAAATAAATAAATCATCTTAAAAAAAAATGAGTGAAGGACTAAAACATTTTCCCAAAGATAGAAATGGCCACCAGGTGCTCACCATCACCGATCATCAGAGAAATGCAAACCGAAACCATCATGCAAGAGTAGCTCAAAATGACAGAAGATAACAGCTTAGCAGCAAGCGTGTGGGGCTCGGTGAGGCCGCCGTCTCCGGTGCTGGCATCCCATAGGGGCGCTGGTTCAAGTCCCAGCTGCTCCACTTCCCATCCAGATCCCTGCTGGTTTACTTGGGAAAGCAGTGGAAGATGGGCCAAGTGCTTGGGCCCCTGCACCCACGTGGGAGACCCCGATGGAGCTCCTGGCTTCAATCTGGCCCAGCCTTGGCTATGGTCATTTAGGGGATGAAACTCTGTCTCTCTCTAACTCTGTCTTTAACATAAATGAATCTTTAGAATTTATAAATGTAGTTTCTTTCTTTCTTTTTTTTTTTTTTTTTTTTTTTTTTGACAGGCAGAGTGGACAGTGAGAGAGAGAGACAGAGAGAAAGGTCTTCCTTTTGCCGTTGGTTCACCCTCCAATGGCTGCCGCGGCCAGCGCACTGTGCTGATCCGAAGCCAGAAGCCAGGTACTTCTCCTGGTCTCCCATGGGGTGCAGGGCCCAAGCACTTGGGCAATCCTCCACTGCACTCCCTGGCCACAGCAGAGGGCTGGCCTGGAAGAGGGGCAACCGGGACAGAATCCGGCGCCCTGACCGGGACTAGAACCCGGTGTGCTGGCGCCGCTAGGTGGAGGATTAGCCTAGTGAGCCGCGGCGCTGGCCATAAATGTAGTTTCAAACAGTGCCTGGTGATAGCGATACTTTATAAATAAATATCGATTTGCTTGAAGAGCCTGGGGACCGGGTCTCATGTGACATCACAGCTGCCCTCGGCGCTGCCGCAGCGACTGTATCTCTTCATCCTGGCTGCCTGGGAGCCTCGCTCGCCTTCTCTGTCCCCTCCCCAACCCTCTCAGAAACTGCCCGGGACTGCCCGCGTGGCCTCTGTGGCCTGTCCTGGGCCTGGCGACCGAAGCAGCTTCCCCACCACCTCTTCCTCCTCCCTCTCTGCTCTCCTCCCTGCCCCATACTGGCTGCAGTATTTTCAAAAGAGCTGCGTTGGAACTGGGGTGATTCGGAAAACAATGTAGATGCAAACAGGGTGGGAAAAAGGGACTCTTGGGGGAAAGGTTTGGTGGCTCAGGATTCTAGAGCAGAAGCTGCGGGCAGCAGGCGTGTGTCCCAGGGAGTCCCGGTGGGAGCGTGGTGCAGCGGTGACGCCTGCATCCCGTGTTGGAGCGCTGGTTCGAGTCCCGGCTCCGCTTCCCATCCGGCTTCCTGCCGAGATAGCAGGTCTGTGCCACCCACTGCGGAGACCCGGATGGAGCTCCAGGCCCCTGGCCCGGCCCTGACCGCTGTGGGCACTTGGGGAATGAAGCAGCAGATGGACGATGATTTGCTCATTTGTTCATCTCACAACATCCCTTCAGCAACAGACTGAAAGTAAATACATGCATTGAAAAATGAGTTGTTATTGCCACTCTGCCTGGTGTTGCCAATGAACCAAACCAGCAGCGACGGAAAAGGTTTTAGCTGAGTGCCACACCCTGCACACACGCACCAGGCAGGCCGCGGCTCTTGGCTCTCGGGTCGAGCTGTCTGCGGTTGGTTCTGGGCCCAAGCTGTCCGTGGTTCTCGGGTCATGCTGTCTGCACCAGCGCTGGGTGGGGGTGGGGGGCGCACAGGGCAGTGGGGGTGGGGAACCTGAATGCCAGGCCTCTCCCGGGCAGGGAGAGGGTCTCAGGGCCCATAGGAGGTCTCCAGAGGCGCCCAGGAAGAAGGTCCCTGGGGAAGCTCTGCGCACAGCTGCCTCCGCTAGACCCCCCTCCAGAACACCACGCCCCTGGCCACGCACCACACACCAGGCCACCAGGCCCGGCCACGGATTGCCTGTGGTGCAGCCTGGAAGGGCACCGGGGTGAGGAGCTCTCCCCAGCAGAGTCCGCCTGTGTCCACACCCGGGTCCTGTCCAGGCATCCCCAGCGTGCGCCCACCCACCCACTGCAGGCTCTGCCTTTACCCTCACTGTCTCCCTGATCTTTCCAGAACTCCCAGGAGCGCCCGCTCCTGCCTTTCCTGAGCCCCTTCGGAGCCGCCCCCGCCCCCCCCCCCCGGCTTGGTGGGCTACTGACCCTTCCTCCTTCCAGGACTGACACAGAAGCTGCAGCCTGGCCACCGGAGCATCGCGGCCAGGGTGAGAAGGTAACAGCGTCTTGCGCCTTTAAACAGACCGTTCAGGAGCTGACCCAGAGCCCCGTCCCTTCCAGACCCTGCCGGCTGCCACACGCACACGCACACGCACACGCACACACCCACGCCTGGCTGCTCCTGCCTGTGCCCTCCCTGCCCAGGACCTGTTATTGAACCTAAACTTGCAGCCTGAGGAACCAGAGGCCGGGTTTCCCCAGGGGCACTAAGGCAAGCGTGGACTCCTGGTGCGGGAGTGAGGGTCAGGCCGCACCGGCTGGACGCAGGCCAAAGAGGCACAGGACACCTGCCAGGATAAACACATTTTCCGCGGCAGGCGCCCTGGTCCCGGCTGGCAGGTCAGGTGTGGGCCACGAAGCAGCCGTGTCCTGGAAGGCGCCCAGAGGGTGGGGTCGCCAGCTGCTCTGGTCCTGGAGCCCCAGTTTAGCTGGAGGCCGAGACCCCTGGCTCCCCACGTCCCCCTGCCCTGACGGGACCTCCCCCCACCCCACCCCCCGGGCTCCTTCTCTCCTGTGGGCCTCTGGGTCTGCCGCCCCTTGACCCACAGCGTCCTTCCCACCTCTCGTCAGCTCAAGTTCAGCCCTGCCAGGAGTCTCTGCAGGCTCTAAGGGCCGTGGCACTTCCCGGAAGCCTGTGTCACAGCCCTGGCATTGTCCTGCCTGGCCCAGCTGCCGTCTTCGTAACCGTGTCACCTGGGAGGCTGCGACATGAACGGAGGAGGGGAGGCGTAAGGTCCAGCTCCTTCCTGCACCCTGACCCGTGCCTGGCCTGACCCCACCGCAACCAGACACGCCATTCAGGAGTGAAATGAGCAGACGTGCCGGCTGCCAGGGACGGCACCGGGGTCTGTCTGTCCTCAGGTTCACGTTCACCAGGGCAGCCGCCGAGCAGCGCCCGCTCCCCCGAGAGCCCTCGCTGCCAGAACCCTGGAAGAGGGTCCCTGCTGCCCACGGCGACTCCTGCACCGATTCTGCGTATCTGAAGTCCCCCCCTTCCCCCACGGAAACGACACCCTGGCCTCTTTTAATACAAACTTTATTCCCAGACGCAGAGCAGGCTTCAAGGGGTCGGCCTGTCTGTAAAGCCCAAATTCCACCTTCCCAAGGCCCGGCCCCTCTAAGGCTCTAGAACTTTCCAACGGGGGTTTAGAAGCCACATGACCCGGCCTCCAACCCCGAACGCCGCAGCTTTGGGCTCCTCAACTCAGGGTTCCGAACGAGCTTCGGGGGTCTCTGCTGCACCTTCCACAAGGGGCGAGGCGCCCCCCAGCGTCTGGGGAGGGCGTTTCCATGGGAAACAGGAGTGGGGGGGTTGGGGGGCTGCGGGCGCCTCACAGGCAGCAGAGCCGCTCCACCCCCTCCTCGCAGCCGTAGAACTGGTCCAGGAGCTCGGGGCTGGTGCCATTGCACTCCAACCACCGCCTCAGTGTGCGCAGGGCCCCGAGCGCGTCGGCCTTGGTGGGCGGGGGCTCCCGGGCCTCCTCCCCCGCCCCCGCCCCCTCCCCCTCCTCCTCGTCGGCGAGCGCCTCCTCTTTGCACACTCCAGGCCCTGGATCCTCACCTTCCAGGTCCACAAAGCGGGAAAACTCCTCGGGGCTCAGCCCGCCGGGGACCGGGGGCATCTCGCAGGCCCTGCTGGGGGCCGGGGCCGTTTTGCAGGGAGCCAGCCCTTCCTGGACGAAGCTGCCCCAGATGAGCTGCGGAGGCACCCGGGCCCAGGCCGCCGCCGCCATGTGCAGCGCGTCCAGCACCGTGATGCGCGTCGCGGCCTGGCCCAGCGAGAGGCCGGCCTCGCTGCTCCGGATGGCGGCCAGCTTGCCCAGCAGACGGCACCGGTACCGGGCCTTAAAGGCCCGGACCACCGAGCAGGGCAGGGCGGGCGTGGAGCCCGAGGCCGAGAGAGGCAGGAGCCTCACGTGGTGCAGCCCACAAGAGCCCGCCACCGCGTCCGCCACCGGGGCCGCCAGCAGTAGGGCCACGTGCCGCCCCTGCAGCCCCATGTCCCGGTCGAACCGTGCCAACCACTGCGCCCAGGGGACGCCCAGCCCAGGGTGGTAGGAGGCAGGCAGCGCCTCGCCGCGGACCCCGGAGAAGCAGGCCGGGGCAGCCTGGCGCCCCCCCGCCCATACCCGCCGCTTCTCGCTGCCCCGGCTGTTGGCGCACAGCACCACCTGCACTCGGTCGCAGGCGCCGGCTCCGCCGGGCACCGCCCGGTACAGCAAGGGCACCGCGGCGCAGCCGAACACGTCCTCTGGGCAGAAGTCTTCAAGGGCCACAGGTGGCTGGGGCTGGGCCGGGAGCCCCGGGGGCGGCGGGGCGAGCGCGGGGCGGGGCCCCGGGCCCACGTTGTTGCGGCGTCTCCAGCGGACCAGCCAGCCGACGCTGGGCACGAAGTCCTGGCCCATGATGTCGGCCAGCTGCTTGGCCTTGTGCAGCAGCGCGGGCCCCGTGACGTCGCAGGCCCCGGCGCGCGCCAGGCGGTACCAGCAGAGCAGGGCCTCGTCGACGCCGCTGTACTTGGACTCCCGCTTGCGCTTGCGCTGCCGGTTGGCGGTGCCGCTGCACCAGTCGGCCAGCAGCTTCTCCTTGTTCTTGCAGATGCGCGAGATCTGCGGCTGCGAGACCCGGAAGCGCCGCGCCACCTCCGACTGCGACAGCTTGGACTCGCGCAGGAGCTCCAGCACCTGGATCTTCTCGGCCAGGGACAGCGCGTGCAGCTTCTTCCTGCCGCCCAGCTCCATGGATTCTCCCCACACCTGCGTGGGGGCGGGGGAAGGGAGGGGTGTGCAGGGGGAGGCAGGAGGGAGGGGCAGGTGTGCAGGAGACCGGGCGGGGCCAGGTCAGGCCGGCTGAGGAGCAGGTGCGCCCTGACCCCACGGAACACAGCACAGAGCCAGGAGGAGAGGGGTGAATAGCGCCAGGGGACAGCTGCAGAGACAGACAACAAAGGATTATGGGGAGGGGGCGCTGGGGCTAGTGGGGCAGGTGGAGGGGACGATCGGGGTGGGGGGAGGGTCCAGGAGGGAGACAGGGATGGCCCGGGCTGGGTCAGGTGGAGATTTGGGGGAGCGGCAGCAGGGGCGGGGTGCGGAGTGCGTGAACAGAGTTGAGGTGACAGGTGTGCCGACCACACAGGGGACTGCTGGGGCCTGTGGGAGTCTCATTTGGTGCCGAGTCCTGCGGGGGACAGGGTCGGGCAGGGGTCAAGCCTGCAGGGGGAGTGAGAGGGCGGCAGCAGGTGCCCAGGCCACAAAGGGCGAGGGGGGCGAGGAGGCTGCGGGCAGCGACAGGGGCGGGGTGTCCCTGGCGGAGGCACTGGTGGCCTGGGTGGAGTCCCAGGGCGCGGGGACGAGCGCCCAGCACGCAGGCCGGCCGGGAGGCGGGCTCCGCTCCCTGAGCCGCCTCTTCCCACCTACACCCGGAGTCCTACGGCAGGGCAGACCCAGGCGCCCGCCCGCCGGCCCGCCCGGCCTCGCGCTCCGCACCCACCTCAGGCGCTCGTCCCGCGCTCCTGCCCCTGCCCCCAGCCCGGGTCTAGAGCCCTGTCCGTGCGGCAACAACGGAGCCGAAGAGGGACGGGAGCCACGACTCGGAGGGCGGAGCGAGCCGAGGGGCTGCGAGGGCTGGGGGCGGCGGGCACGCGCACAGCAGGGCCCCGCGCATGCCGCCTGCGCCAGGCTCTCCCCCGGCTGGGAAGACCGCTGTGCTGCCACCCGCCGCAACCACGCCCCGGCCCGGCCAGATTGGCCGTCAGTAGCGCCCCGTCCCGCCCCCAGCCAAGCCTCATTGGACGCCGCGGAAGTGGCGGGCCATCGGGGCCCTGAGGGGCGGGGTCTCCACGCATAGGGGCGGGGCGGAGCCAGGAGCCAGCGGGAGTTCCCAGGGCACAGCCCTCGGGCCGGGGGCTGCTGGGCGTCCCAGGACCTCGCTGGCCGCTGGCCGTGACCCTAGGCCAGGCTCGGTTTCCTCATCTACCAATCAGGGCCACTGGCCCCCACGGAGTTGTTTCTGGAAAATGATGAAGGCAGAAAATGGACGCAGGCTGAAGCTACACAAAAACCAGTCAGCATGGACAGCACGGGCCTCGGTCTGAGCCAGGGACACCTGCCCAGCGGCCACGAGATCCGGACCCCAAACTCACCCGTTCCCTTGCCAGCCCGCACACCCAGCCTGCCGGGTCCCCAGCCCTTAGCCACAGGGCAGCTGCGCCATCCCGCCTACCTCCCGGCCCAGGGCCCCGCCTGCGGCATGTCCCGTGGCTGTCATTCCACTCTTCCCTGGGGAGGGAAAACAAAAGCTTAAGAACTGTGACACACGCCCCCCCCCCCCACGTTTGGGGGTCGGGGCCGGGAAGCCCACCTTGTGCACCACGTGACTTGGGAAAGGCCGGCAGGCTGTGCAGGCGATCGGGACTGGCCACGGCCACGGCCAGGCTGCTCCTCCCCGGCCCTCCCTACTTGGCCTCAACTCCCTCCGTGCTCCCCGTGTGAGGTCAGCAACTGCTCTGGGCCCCCTGTGACCGCAGGGTCAATGCTGGCAGCCTGCCACCGCGTCCACCTGCGGGCACCCGGGACCACAGGTCAATGCTGGCAGCCTGCCACCGCGTCCACCTGCGGGCACCCAGGACCCCAGGTCAATGCTGGCAGCCTGCCACCGTGTCCACCTGGGACCGCAGGTCAATGCTGGCAGCCTGCCACCGCGTCCACCTGCGGGCACCTGGGACCCCAGGGTCAATGCTGGCAGCCTGCCACCGCATCCACCCGGGACCACAGGTCAATGCTGGCAGCCTGCCACTGCGTCCACCTGCGGGCAGCGCCGGCAGAAGCGTCCTCCAAAGCAACCAGACCAACAGAAGGCTGCGTTCTCCTTAGCCAGGTTTTGTACGGATGGGAACAGCTGATTGTTCTCTCTAGCAAGGACGTGTCGTACCCAGAAGAGCCAACTTCATGGACGCTTCTCACACCGAATTCAACAACAAACAGGAAGACGCCGTGCTTCAGAACAGAAAAGCCGTCCTAGGGAGGAGTCAGGATCCCACGGCCTCTCAACTGGGACAGGGCGGCAGACAATCACCCAGGGAGGGCTCTGAGTAAAAACGTTTATTGTTACTAATATTCAGAGTACAGGAACTGAAAGGAAAGGAAAAAAGCTGACACCTCAACTCCAAAGCGACAGGGAGTCAGGGCGCGGCCGCGGCCACGGGGAAGGCCACGCCAGGCCACCCCACTGCTTCACGTCAGTGCCACTAAGCGGAGAACTGAGGAACCGGGGGTGAGGCCTTAGCAGCTGCGAGCGAGCGTGCAGGGAGGGGGCGCTGCGCGGCTGCCCGTGGCCGGAGGCAGCTTCCTCCTCGGTCAAGGGCAGGAGGCGGAATGCCCAGGTCCAGGGAGAACACACAGGGATTCTGGAGGTAGGCTTTTTCTTCGAGTTAAAAAACAGGCACATTATCCAACGCTTCCCCGTGGCCCCTACGCCGCACATCCCCTCCCCCACAAAACCAAAGGGCAAGAAGGGGAGGCAGAGACGGGACATTCCTCCAGAGACCTCCCGTGGGGGCGCGGGGACGATGGGATGAGGGGGCCGGGCAGGCCCAGGCGGCTGAGCGCCCTTAAGGGAGCTGCGCGCCGTGGGGGGAGGGGGAGGCTGTGCTAGGCGGCACCCACCCGGCCCGGGCTCCCGGGAGCAGTGGAGCCTCAGCCTGCAGCCCCCAGCTGCTCCTGCCGCTCCAGCCCGGCCCGGCCCCTCTGGGGAGGGGCAACCCTGGAGACCGGCGTGGAGCTGAGCAGACAAGGGAGCAGGTCTCCCACTCCTCCCTGTGATGAGCAGGCCCGGGCCCGAGGCGAGCAGAGTAAATGCACTTCATGAGAGCAGAGAGAAGCCGGCCCACGCGTGCGCCTGCGGGCCCACGGCGGGCAGAGCTGCTGCCAAAGGCAGGTTGGCATGACCGCCCTGAGGTTCCCTGGACTTGTGAGGAAGGAAAAGGTGGGTGTGAACACAGGTGGAGGACAGAGCAGCCTCAGACGCGTGGGGACCTGGGGGCGGCTGCATCAGGAGGAGTTCTGGTTCTGGTAGATGGACGCCTTCTCCTTCAACAGGTCCAGACACAGGTGGCAGCTCCAGCTCCCTGCAGAGAAGGGCGCAGTCAGGGAGGGCCCACTCCCCACTCCCGCTTGCTCCAGCGCCAGGGCCGGGCAGGGACCACAGCTGTCCCAGCTGGGAGGGGGCTCTGGGTACCCAATCTTAGAAAGCACTGTTCTCAATGGAGATGAGAGGACATGCCCGGCCCCCGGGCCCTGTGGAATCAGAAGCTCTGGGTGGGAACAGACCCCCAGCTCCAGAGCTGTGACTACACAGAACCAACCAGACTCCGCTCTCACGGTCCCCAAGGTTAGAATGAAGACCAGGTGCCGCCAGAGCCGACTTTGATTCTTTTTGATTCCGCACGAGGTTCTGACGCCCGCTGGGAGGCCCTCCTCACAGACGAGGTGACCTCGCACGGCCCTGCGCCTATCTCACTTCATCAGGAGAACAGTGACAGGCCCACAGCTTGTTCACCAACACTTACTACGCTGGGACTCTTTCTGAGAAACAAAATTAACCCTTCACGTCCGGAAATTACAAGCTTAAGTAAGCACACGTATGAACACTGTTCTGGGGGCAAGGACCACACCTTTCATCAGCTCTTCAGTAACAGCAGACTTGGGTCAAGCTGCTGCCCAAGACGCCAGCATCACATCCAGTTGTTCCACTTCTTTAAGATTTTTTCTTTTCTTTTTTTTTTTTTACAGGCAGAGTGGACAGTGAGAGAGACAGAGAGAAAGGTCTTCCTTTGCCATTGGTTCACCCTCCAATGGCTGCCGCGGCCAGCATGCCATGGCCGGCGCACCGCGCTGATCTGAAGCCAGGAGCCAGGTGCTTCTCCTGGTCTTCCATGGAGTGCAGGGCCCAAGCGCCGGCTTCAAATAAATCTTAAACAAAGAGACCAGCGCCGTGGCTCACTAGGCTAATCCTCCACCTAGCGGCGCCGGCACACCGGGTTCTAGTCCCGGTCGGGGTGCTGGATTCTGTCCCGGTTGCCCTTCTTCCAGGCCAGCTCTCTGCTGTGGCCAGGGAAGTGCAGTGGAGGATGGCCCAAGTGCTTGGGCCCTGCACCCCATGGGAGACCAGGATAAGTACCTGGCTCCTGCCATCGGATCAGTGCAGTGCGCCGACCATGGCAGCCATTGGAGGGTGAACCAACGGCAAAGGAAGACCTTTGTCTCTTTCTCACTATCCACTCTGCCTGTCAAAAAAAAAAAAAAATTTATTTGAGAGGGAGAGACAGAGGGAGATCTTCCATCTGCTGGTTCACTCCCCAGATGGCTGCTGCAACACCCAGGGTTGGGCCAGACTGAAGCAGGCAGCCAGCAGCTTCTTCCAGGTTTTCATGTGGGTGCAGGGGCCCAAGGACACGGGCCGTCCTCCGCTGCCTTCCCAGGAGCGTTAGCAAGGAGCTGGACTGGAAGTGGAGCAGCCGGGGCTCAGCAGTCGCATGGGATGCTGGTGTCACAGCAGCAGTTTCACCCGCTGCGCCACAGCCGGCCCCTCCTCCACTTCTAACCCAGCTCCCGGCCAATGCACCTGGGAAGGCAGCGGAAGGCGGCCCAAGTGCTGGGCCCCACTCAGCCACGTGGGAGATGCATTTCTTGGTTCCTGGCTTCAGCCTGGCCTGGGCCTGACTACCTGACTACTGCACCCATATGGGGAGTGAATCAGTGGATGGAAGAGCAATTTCTCTGTCTCTCCCTCCTATCTCATATGGGCACTAGTTCAAATCCTGCTTGTTCCACTTCCTTTTTTTTTTTAAAGATTTATTTATGTATTTGAAAGGCAGAGTTACACAGAGAGAAGGAGAAGTGGGGGGGGTGTCTTCCATCCACTGGTTCACCCCCCAATTGGCTGCAGTGGCCAGAGCTATGTGATCCAAAGCCAGGAGCCTCCTCTGGGTCTCCCACGCGGGTGCAGGGGCCCAAGCACTTGGGCCATCTTCTGCTTTCCCAGGCCACAGCAGAGAGCCGGATCGAAGTGAAGCAGCCGGGACACAAACTGGCGCCCACATGGGATGCTGGCACCGCAGGCGGCGGTTTTACCCGCTATACCACAGCACCAGCCCGCTGTTTCACTTCTAATCCATCTCTCTACTAATGGCCGGGGAAAAGCAGGCGAGGGTGGTCCAAATGCCTGAGCCCTGTCACACACATGGGAGACCTGGATGAAGCTCCCAGCTACGGCCTGGCCCAGCCTTGGCCATTGTAGCCATCTAGGGAATGCACCAGCAAATCGAAGACCTCTCTCTCTGTAATGCTTTCAAATAAATAAATAGTTAAAAATTAAAAAGGAGGGGAGCTGGCATTGCAATGCAGAGCTCCTACACGAGTTGCAGTTTGGGTTCTGGCTCTCTGATCCAGCTCCCTGAGACACCTGGGAAAGCAACGGAAGATGCCCAAACACTTGGGCCACTGACACCCACATGGGAGACTTGAACGGAGTTCCAGGTTCCCTCTTCAGCTGAGCCCAGCCCTGGCTGTTGCAGCCATTTGGAGAGTGAACCGGCAGATGGAAGATCAGATCTTTCTCTCTCTGTTACTCTGATTTTTCCAATAAATAATTGTAAAACCAAAAAAAAAAAAAAAAAACCACCTTAAAAACAAGAACAAAAAACATTTTAAAAACGTAAAAACCACTTGGAGTTTCTAAGTACAAACTGGCTGCAAGTGGACTTGGCCCATAGGACCTGGTTGGCTGACCCTGACCGAGAGCAGAGACCAACTGGATTTTTTTTTTTTTTTTTTTTTAACAGGCAGAGTGGACAGTGAGAGAGAGAGACAGAGAGAAAGGTCTTCCTTTGCCGTTGGTTCACCCTCCAATGGCCGCCACGGCCGGCGCGCTGCGGCTGGCGCACCGCACTGATCCGATGGCAGGAGCCAGGAGCCAGGTGCTTTTCCTGGTCTCCCATGGGGTGCAGGGCCCAAGCACTTGGGCCATCCTCCACTGCACTCCCTGGCCACAGCAGAGAGCTGGCCTGGAAGAGGGGCAACCAGGACAGAATCCGGCGCCCCAACCGGGACTAGAACCCGGTGTGCCGGCGCCGCTAGGTGGAGGATTAGCCTAGTGAGCCGCGGCGCCGGCCCCAACTGGATTTCTAAGCTGCCTTAACTGCCCAGGGACGGCCCCTGGGCTGCCAGCTCTCCACCACCTCAGTGAACAGCAGGACTTCCACGGGAAGCACCTTCTGCGATTACTTGGTCTGTGAATCAGCTGTTGACTTGTCTATTTTCTAAAGTAGATTTGCAACCTAAGCAGCCACTAAGGGGCTCTCAGACCTGCTTTGGCTCCTGAGTTTCACGATGTAACAAGTCAGCCTCCAGCACACACGGGACCACTTCCCTGCCTGCGAGGCTGGCCCGTCCGCTCCCCGCCCAGTAACAGCCACTGGGTATCTGCATCCTCCTGAGCACCTTCCCAAATTTAGGCGCAGAAGCCCAGCTGCAGGGGTCGTGGGTGGCAGTCACTTCAGGCCGGCACCACTGGTGTCGGTGATCGGCATCCATCCACGCCAGTGCTGTTACAGCACAGGAGCCGTGAAGGGACAGAGCAGCTCGGGGCCCACTCCTGCACACTGGGAGAGGGAGAGGAGCAGACACGCCCACTCCTGCACACTGGGGGAGGGAGAGGAGCAGACACGCCCACTCCTGCACACTGGGGGAGGGAGAGGAGCAGACACGCCCACTCCTGCACACTGGGGGAGGGAGAGGAGCAGACACGCCCACTCCTGCACACTGGGGGAGGGAGAGGAGCAGACACGCCCACTCCTGCACACTGGGGGAGGGAGAGGAGCAGACACGCCCACTCCTGCACACTGGGGGAGGGAGAGGAGCAGACACGCCCACTCCTGCACACTGGGGGAGGGAGAGGAGCAGACACGCCCACTCCTGCACACTGGGGGAGGGAGAGGAGCAGACACGCCCACTCCTGCACACTGGGGAGGGAGAGAGCAGACACGCCCACTCCTGCACACTGGGGGAGGGAGAGGAGCAGACACGCCCACTCCTGCACCACTGGGGAGGGAGAGGAGCAGACACGCCCACTCCTGCACACTGGGGAGGGAGAGGAGCAGACACGCCCACTCCTGCACACTGGGGGAGGGAGAGGAGCAGACACGCCCACTCCTGCACACTGGGGGAGGGAGAGGAGCAGACACGCCCACTCCTGCACACTGGGGGAGGGAGAGGAAGCAGACACTCCCACTCTTGTACACTGGGGGAGGAGAGGGAAGCAGACACGCCCACTCCTGCACACTGGGGGAGGGAGAGGAGCAGACACGCCCACTCCTGCACACTGGGGGAGGGAGAGGAGCAGACACGCCCACTCCTGCACACTGGGGGAGGGAGAGGAGCAGACACTCCCACTCCTGCACACTGGGGGAGGGAGAGGAAGCAGACACGCCCACTCCTGCACACTGGGGGAGGGAGAGGAGCAGACACTCCCACTCCTGCACACTGGGGGAGGGAGAGGAGCAGACACGCCCACTCCTGCACACTGGGGGAGGGAGAGGAGCAGACACGCCCACTCCTGCACACTGGGGGAGGGAGAGGAGCAGACACGCCCACTCCTGCACACTGGGGGAGGGAGAGGAGCAGACACTCCCACTCCTGCACACTGGGGGAGGGAGAGGAAGCAGACACTCCCACTCTTGTACACTGGGGGAGGGAGAGGAAGCAGACACGCCCACTCCTGCACACTGGGGGAGGGAGAGGAGCAGACACGCCCACTCCTGCACACTGGGGGAGGGAGAGGAGCAGACACGCCCACTCCTGCACACTGGGGGAGGGAGAGGAGCAGACACTCCCACTGACCAAGTTCAGAGAGCTGACACAGAAGCTGCGCATGACACGCTGCCCCCCGAGCTTCCCGGGAGGGCTGGAGTGACTGTTCTCTGCTTAGCATCTGCTTCCTCCTGGGCTGCGAGTTTCTAGGTTTGTAAATGCAGCTGATGATGCTGTACAAACGTTACTCTCTCAAGCTGAAGTGCGAGGGAAGCATCCTGAACTGACCAAGACAAGGTGCCTCCCTCCCTAATCGGGACCGGATCACTGACATCACAGCGCAGGAGGCCCTGCCGCGGCAGGCTGTGAGTGAAACGGCCGTCCTGAGACGCGGCGACTCACCTTCCGGAGGCTCCGACATGGAGGGGGTGAGACAGTACATGTGGTAGCCGCGGTCACAGTCGTCACAGAAGAGCAGCTGGTCCTAGACAGGAAGAGGCGGCTCAGGGGCTGAAAGAGCCAAGTCCTCAGGCCAGCGAGGGCTGGAGGAGGAAGAGGACTCTGGTGGCCACTGCTACTTCCAGGACGGGCAGGGAGGAACAAGGGTGTGCAACCCTGGGCGAGAAGCCACTGCTGTCCACCTCCACCCCAGACCAAGTCCCTGTCATCCCTCAACTGGACCCTCCCAGAGCTCAAACTCATCACTCACAACGGCCTCTACTCTTGTCCCTTACAACCTCCTGTCCAGAGGACAAAGCTACCTTTTTAAAAAATGTTTTTTATTTATCTGAGGCAGAGAGACAGATACACACAAGAGAGGGAGGGAGGGAAGGAGGGAGGCTGAGCGAGTGAGATCCCATCCCCTGGTTCACTACCCAAATGCCCACAAAGGGCCGGGCCGGGCCGGGCCGGGACTGGAAACTCAACCCAGAGCCCCCATGTGGGTGACCTGACGGCTTGAGCCACCACGTGCGGCTCCCCGGGGTGCTCATGAGCAGGAAGCTGCAATCAGGAACAGATCCAGATCTGTCCCCAAGCACTCCAGAACAGGACACGGGTGTGCCAACTGGAGTCTTAGCCACTACACCCTGAAGTGAAGTTTTTAAAAAAGGTTTACTTTAGGCCGGCGCCGCGGCTCACTAGGCTAATCCTCCGCCTAGCGGCGCCGGCACACCGGGTTCTAGTCCCGGTTGGGGCGCCGGATTCTGTCCCGGTTGCCCCTCTTCCAGGCCAGCCCTCTGCTGTGGCCAGGGAGTGCAGTGGAGGATGGCCCAGGTGCTTGGGCCCTGCACCCCATGGGAGACCAGGAAAAGCACCTGGCTCCTGGCTCCTGCCATCGGATCAGCGCGGTGCGCCGGCCGCAGCGCGCCGGCCGCGGCGGCCATTGGAGGGTGAACCAACAGCAAAGGAAGACCTTTCTCTCTGTCTCTCTCTCTCACTGTCCACTCTGCCTGTCAAAAAAATAAAAAAAATAAAAAAAATAAAAAAAAAAAAAGGTTTACTTTCACCTACATGAGAGGTGAGCCACAGGAAGAGGAATAAAGAGGCAGTGAGAGATCTATCCACTCCTCCAGGTGCCCCACGTGGGGCAGGGGCAAAGCACTTCAGGCCTCCCACGATGCCTCAGCAGAAGGGTATCAGAAGGAGCTGGTGAGACACCAGCACCCCGCTATGTGACGTCCTGGTGCAGGGAGTCCAGGTTCCCAGCTTTGGCCCGGCCCGAGCCCGCTGTTTCTGGCATCTGGGGAACGAAGCAGCAGATGGAAGATCTCTTACTGCCTCTCCCTGTCACTCTGCCTTCCTGTAAGTCTTTACACAAGACCCCTCTAACACGCAACTGCGCTGAGGAGAACACGAGGCCCCACTGCTCTCCTACTAGCTCATCTCCGGCCACACTGGCTCTTCTCTTCACACCTGGCCTCTGTCCACACCTGGCTCGTCTGCCCCAAGGCCTCCGCACCGGCTGCTCTGTTCTGAGGGATGCGCTACCCCAGGCCTTCTGGGACCGACTCCCTGGATCTCCTTTCAACACTCACATCACCTCCTCCGAAAAGCCACTCCGACCGGCAAGTCTCTCAGCCATCCAGCTGCTCCCTGCCACCTCGCTGCTTCCCCGTTCTTCACGGCACGTCACACACACCCCACTCATCCCCGTCCTCACTACTGGCCCCCCGAGAACGTGGGTTCCACGAAAGCAGGGCCCTCATCTGTCCTGCTCAGTATTCCCAGTGCCTCGCACGTCGTCTGCCATAAACAAGCAACACCTGCCAACAAGCCCGAGTTCTGTGCGACGCCAGGAGGCCTGGCACGGGGTCTCGCTCCCTCTCACAAGAAAGCTCGCTCTTGAGGGAACCGAGGGGAGACCAGCGAAGGCGCAGGAGGGGCAGCCACGCACGTCGTTCTCGGAGGTGCCACAGATGTTGCAGCACTTGCACTCGATGCACTGCCAGCGGTAGGTCTTCACCGCCGCCATCATCACGGGGGTGAACTGGAGGCAAGACGGATGCCCTGCGGGGAGGAGGCAGTGAACAAGCAGCCTGGGATGGCCGGAGAGGAGCCCACTGTCTGTGGCAACATCCTCTCTCGAGCAGGAGGAGGGCGGAGCTGGGGGCTGTGACAGCCAAGAGCCCCCTGGGGACTGGGCACTGCAGCACCCGGTCCTCAGGGGCAGACGCACCTGAGCGGCCACAGTCGGAACAGGACACCAGCTCTTCGGGCTGCCCCGTCTTCTTGTTGATCTTGGAGTCTCCCAGGCAGAAGTCACAGTAGTTGTTGGGCAGGGCCAGGCCGTCCGGACCCTTCTTTGCTGCAGGCAGACAGAGAGGAGTTTCAACGAGCAGACGGCGGGGCCCGGTCTCTCGACATGCCTGTGAGGAGCATCCTCCGGCACGGGCCAAGCCCCCCCCACACCCCAGCTTACACTTCTGCTCCTCGGACCTCTGGGAAACAGGGGTGGGTGGCTGCGAGTCCTCCTTGTCCTCGCCCTCCTCCTCAGCCAAGTGGGAGTGGGCGTAGTGGTAACTGAGGCCGGGTCTGTTCTTGTAACGTTTCCCACAAACTGTGGAGAGAGGATCCGAGAAGGGCGTTAGGATCCGAGCGCACCCCATCGCCGCCCGCCAGCTGGGGGGCTCCAGCTGAAGCAGAGGGCGACCACCTCCACCCCCAGCGGCTGTGTTCTGGGAGCATCAGGCGGTAGGGCTCTCCGGCTTCCAGGAACCCACTCTCCCTCCTAAACCCACCTCCACGCCCACCACTGCTCTTCCACGTGGGCTCTGGGGAGGGGGTGTTTAGCCCTTGCTGCACTGGAACAGTGACAGCCTGGGGGGCGCCAGTGAGGAACGGGCAGAGGGTTTCCCCAGCCCAGCAGCAGGGCAGGCAGGGGAAGGGGAGAAGAGCCCGCCAACCCGCAGCCTCGGCTCGCACACGTGGGAGGCTCATGCAACCGTCTAGGCCAAGGAGCCCATGACTGCTGAATGCGGACAAAGCAGTAAGGTGGGTCTTGTCCTGTGGGGACAACCTACCAACCGGGCCAGCGGGACCTCAAGAAATGCAAGCCACTCCCACACTGGGGCCCTGCCCAGCCCCTGCCAGCAGCAGAGAAAACAGACGCCCGCCCGCGAGGCAGCGCGATCCTGAGCAGTACCGCCGAGAGGGAAGGGGGCCGGCAGGAAGAACAGGGAGAGGACGGGAGCTGGAGGCGGCGGGCAGGTGAGGACACCGCTGGGCGCCGAGTGCCTGCTGTCGGGAAGGGGAGGCAGACCTGTCTGTGGTGGGCTCCTCACAATGCTCTCAGCCACCCCATGCATTAGGCCGAGCGGCCTCAGAGCAAGCTCGCGGGAGACAAGCAGTGGCTTTGAGGACTGGAGCAGGATCCGAGCTCCATGGCTCCTACCCCCATGCCATTGCAGAGATTTAAAACTAGCATCACAGGAGATGAGAAAGGCAGGAGGAACAGGGAGGGGGAAAAGGGACAGGAAAACCAAAAGTCTGAAAAGTGAGGAGAGCTACCTCTCTGGGGCGCTTTCGAGGTATGCTTTTGTTTGAAACTATCTGAAAGACAGAAAGAAAAGTCATGAGAAGGCCTTGGTACACTGAGACAGGTACAGCAGCAGCAGGAAAGCGGGTGCGCCAGCGAGAAACCCCAGTGGCGCTGGTGCTCCCAGGGGAGAGGGACAGAAGTGGGGGAGCCAGAGGGAAGGGGAGGAGGACATGGGACACTCGGCGTTGCATCCCCGGGGCCCTGGCTCCACTGCGACCAGCAGACCTGCATCCGCCCACCCCCACCCAGGCCAGCAGAACCTCTCCCGGAGAATGCAGGGCCCCCGCCACGTAGCAGAGGCCTGGGCCTCCTGAGGGTCTCCGAGGGAACCGGCAAGTGGGCAGGACAAGCGCCCAGGCTGTCTCCCTCCCCCTCTATCTCCTGTGTGGAGCTGGGTCCTAGGCGAGCAGGACCCACCCATTCTCGAGGCACTCACTGTCACAGGCATAGGGCTTGTCCCGATCCTCCAGGATGGATGCATCCAGCTTCTTACGGGCACTGCCCACACCCTTGCTCTGCCAAGAGGAGGAAAAAGATGGCCTAAGAAGTCTGGGCCTAAGGAGTTAAATTCTCCGGGAAGTGAGTGAGTGCGAACCGCACTTGAAAGGGAAAAAGGCAACCCCAAGAAATAACGCGGGGCCAGCACCGTGGCACAGTGGGTCAACTGCCACACGTGACGCAGGCATCCCATCTGGGTGGCTCTTCAAGTCCCGGCTGCTCCACTTCTGACCCAGCTCCCTGCTGATGTGCTTAGGAAAGCAGCAGAAGACGGCCAAGTGCTTGGGCCCTGCACCCACACGGGAGACCCGGATGGAGCTTCTAGCTACTGGCTTTGGTTTGGCCCAGCCCAGGCCATCACAGCCATCTGGGGAGCGAACCGGAGGATGGAATCTCTAATTCTACCTTTCAAATAAATAAATCTTAAGGCCGGCACCGCGGCTCACTAGGCTAATCCTCCACCTAGCGGCGCCGGCACACCGGGTTCTAGTCCCAGTCGGGGCGCCGGATTCTGTCCCGGTTGCTCCTCTTCCAGGCCAGCTCTCTGCTGTGGCCAGGGAGTGCAGTGGAGGATGGCCCAAGTGCTTGGGCCCTGCACCCCATGGGAGACCAGGATAAGTACCTGGCTTCTGCCATCGGATCAGCACAGTGCGCCGGCCGCAGCGTGCCGGCCACGGCGGCCATTGGAGGGTGAACCAACGGCAAAAGGAAGACCTTTCTCTCTGTCTCTGTCTCTCACTGTCCACTCTGCCTTTCAATAATAATAATAATAATAAATCTTAAAAAAAAATAAGACGTGGGACTCCTTAGCCACTCTGTCCCAGGCTGCAGGCCTCTCACCTTGGATTTCCCTTTGCCACGACGCTTTGGAGTATCTTCTTCATAGTCCTCGTCATCAAGGTCATCCAGGAAGTCATCTGGTTCTAGGATCCGCTGAGTGACAGGATTAGGATGAGCAGAAGTATTGCATACCCGGAAGCTCTCTCGTGGTGGGACTGGCTGAGATGCCCAGAGCCTCCTCTGTGGCCCAGCCCCACCCTGCCGGCTCCACTCTTCACCCTACAAATCCTGTTTCTGCTCCCTTCAGTGCTATGGGCTTTCCTTCCTCTGTGCCTCTCTCCACGCTGAACCACCTTCGAGAGGCCCAACCCTATATCCACAAAGCTCCCTCCGATTCTCTGGCAGCCACGCCTCTTCTGCTCACATCTGGCCATCCTGGAGGACACCAATGGTGGTTCCTTTCTGACACTCACTTCCTAGTTTAAATGAGAGCTTTGCTGCTTACTTGAAACACTCTGTGACAAGTTTTAAAACTGATCTGCTCAGCATCCCTGTCTGTGAACTAGGGCCTCATAAAGTATGGACTGGGGCCGGTGCGGTGGCGCAGCAGGTTAAAGCCCCAGCCTGCAGCACTGGCATCCGATATGGGCTGCTCCACTTCTAATTCAGCTCCCTGCTAATGCGCTTGGGAAAGCGGTAGAAGACGGCCAAGTCCTTGGGCCCCTGCACCCGTGTGGGAGAGCCGGAAGAAGCTCCTGGCTCCTGGCTTCAGATTGGCTCAGTTTTAGCCATTGCAGCCATTTGGGGAGTGAATGGAAGACCTCTCTCTCTGTCTCTACCTCTCTCTGTAACTCTGTCAAATAAATAAAAGTAAATCTTCAAAAATAAATTTAAAAAAAAGCATAAACAAGAAAGAACATAAAGCAGCAACTGGCACACTGCCCACCGTACTCCTGGCTCTGATTTGCAGAGACATCTTTATCCTCCCTGATGGCAGGGATCATGTCTGTCTCGCCTACGTAATCTCAGGTGAGCGTCTGCACTTAGAGGGAAGGGGCGTGGCAGGTGCAGCTGCATCCCACGTGGGCGCCAGTGTGAGTCCTCACTGCTCGGCTTCCAAGATCCTGGGCCCCTGTAGGAGCCTGAATGAAGCTCTTGGCTTCAGCCTGGCCCACGCTGGCAACTGTAGCCATTTGGGGAATGAAAGAACAGATGTAACTCTGCCTTTCAAATAAATCAATAAATCTTAAAAACAGAGACTGGGGTCAGCTCGGCTCTGCTAGGTGGGCGTGCCCGATGAGGGACTGCCCGGAGAAGTTCCCTTAGCCGCAGCGAAGGCCTCCTACCTTCCGGGCACGACTGTTGGTCACGGGGAACTCGCCCAGACTGTCGTCGTCGACGCGGGGATCCGGGGCGCCTCGCTTCTCCAGAGGGTCAGTGCGCAGCAGAGCCTCCAAACTGCTGCCGTCCTGGGAGATCAGCCCCTCCTTCTTCAGGGTCTGCTCCGTGTCTGCAGGCACAGTCAGGACAAGGCGAGCTCAGGGGCTGCGAGCAGACCTGGGTCTACAGCAGAGGTCAGCCGCTGCCTCTGCTCCGGCCGCCCAGGCACCACCACTGGCGTTCTCCACAGGGAAGAATCGCGTCTTACTACACTCGAGACCTAACACTGCGTCTGGTACCTATCAGGTGACTGGCAGGCCTCCGCACAGAGGCAGGCGACCTCACCTGGCTTAATGGATGGGAAGGAAAGTCGTGGATCCTCAGGGGGGTGGGCTCGCCGCTTTTTCCGCCAGCGCCGGGCAGGGTATGAGTACAGCTGACCAGAGGCCAGTCCTGTGGTATGAAGAGAAAGAAGTCAAGCCCTAACCTAGTTCTAGAAAGTAATACCAAACTCTTTCCAGATGAGCAGCTTCCCTTCCCCCCTTTTTTATTTTATTGTTTTAAATTTAATATTTTAAAAGATTCATTTATTTGAAATGCAACATCAGAAAGAGAGGAGAGACAGACATCTTCCATCCACAGGTTCATTCCCCAAATTACTGCAATGGCCAGGGCTGGGCTGGGCCGAAGCCAGGAGCCTGGAGCTTCATCCAGGTCTCCCACATGGGTGCAAGGGCCCAAGCACTTGGGCCGTCCTCCACTGCTGTCCCAGGCCATTAGCAGAGAGCTGGATTGGAAGTGGACCAGCTGGGTCTTGAACTGGCACCCATATGGGATGCCGGGGTCCCACGCAGAGGTTTAACCTGGTACGCTGGTTTAACCTGGTTTAATGCTGGCCCCCTCCCATCTCAAGTTCTAGAGCAAGGGAGTAAGACTGACAGTGAGGTGGGGGCTACTTTGTGAAAGAGAAAAACAGATCCAGGCGCAGGCCTTGGCAACCATGCAGCCCTCCAGAAGCCAACCATGGCTGCAGCAGGGCAGCAGACGCTGGACGACCCGGCCTGCCCCCTCCGTGGGTTTCTCAGCACAGGAGATCACAGGCAGCCGCGGGGGAGACTCAACTGCACCCTTGCCCAGCACGAGCCAGTCTTCCTCCTGCCGAGCCTGGACCCTCACCTGGACCCCGGTGCCGCTTTTCCATCCAGATGTAACAGTTGCTCTGGGCGACTCCGGTCTGCGAGTCCAGGAAGGGCAGGCGCACGCTGCGCTCGGCACAGAGGCGGGCGTTGTAACTGTGGCACTGCTCCATGGCGTCCTTGTAGTACTGCTCCCCGAGCCTGGCGAGAGAGCCGGGGTGTGGGGAGCCGCAGGGCGCTACGCTAGCTTCTCCGCAGGGCCCAGGAGACGAGGGCTCGCACTTCCCCTCTATGTACCTCCATCTCTACCTCGTGGGACAGCAGGCTCCTCCCTGCGCTGTCACATGGACATCACCACCGGGAACGCGTGATTTCATCATGTCTGAGCAGACCTCAGCCTCACTCACACTAGCGCTTACTCGGTGACTCTGCCGAGCCCACCGCAGTGCTCGCTGTTTCAGGTCAGCTGCCAGTTCTCGGAGCCCTCTCGGCCCTGAGGCCTGGGTGTCGGCCCTCCTTACAAATGGGGAAGGCGCTCAGGACGGCCTGGTGGACGTCCTACACTTAGCACTCTACGCTACAGCCACAGAAGAAAGGAAGCTCTTCATGTACTGGAGTAGACAATTCCAAGACTAGGACGATAAAGCAAGAACGTGCCGATGTGTCACCTGGGTAAGAGGGGTGGAAAAGACACAGCCGGTCTCCAAGGAGACAAGCTGGTGACTGGGGGACTTCCATCCGTTCCATCCGTATTTTATTTATTTGAAAGGCAGAGCTCATGGGGGCGAAGGGGGAGTTGGATCTTCCATCCGCTGGTTCACTCCCCAGATGGCTGCAACACCAGAGCTGGGCCAGACTGGAGCCAGGAGCCAGGAGCTCCACCCCGTCTCCCATGGCTGCAGGGCCTCCAGCACCGGAGCCGGGTCAGCAGCAGAGTGGCCAGGCCTTGGCGCCGGGACTCCGGAACGGGACGCGACATCGCAAGCAGCGGCCCTGCTGCCCCACCATGCCTGTCCCTCTTCTGTATTGTAAGTTAGACATTCCCACCTCCTGGTTTATTCCCCGAATGCTCACCACAGCTGGGGCTGGGGCAGGCTGAGAACAGGGGCCCAGAACTCAGGCGCGGCCTCCCACGTGGGAGGCAGGGACCCAAGCACTTGAGCCATCATCTGCTGCCTTCCAGGGTGTGCGAGAGCGAGAATGCTGGGACAGAAGCAAAACTGGACTGGAGCCCTGGCACTCGGACACAGGACCTGTGTGTCCCAAGCGGCATGTCAACTGTTGTACCAAACACCCCCCCCCTCGAAGCTTTCACTGAGTAACATTACTGACATGAAACTTGTTTAGTCTGAGGTCCTGTTCCTACCCAAATTATACAGGAATCGGCTTTGACCCAAAAAGAGATTCAATTTGAAATCTGAATTAAGGGCAAATCTTTCAGTGTTTTGAAGAACTGGAAAACTGCACAGTGCCAAGAGTTACCTGGTTTTAAAAAGTATGTACATGAAACCAGGGTTCAACCAGCCATTTGGTCATGCAGGGGGAACTAGTAACCCCTAGTTAGTTAATATACCCCCCCCCTTTTTTTTTTTTTTTTGACAGGCAGAGTGGACAGTGAGAGAGAGAGACAGAGAAAGGTCTTCCTTTGCCGTTGGTTCACCCTCCAATGGCCGCTGCGGCCGGCGCACCGCGCTGATCCGATGGCAGGAGCCAGGTGCTTCTCCTGGTCTCCCATGGGGTGCAGGGCCCAAGCACCTGGGCCATCCTCCACTGCACTCCCGGGCCACAGCAGAGAGCTGGCCTGGAAGCGGGGCAACCGGGACAAAATCCGGCGCCCCGACCAGGACTAGAACCCGGTATGCCGGCACCGCAAGGCGGAGGATTAGCCTAGTGAGCCGCGGCGCCGGCCAATATATCCCTCTTAAAGTGAGGGCACAGGTGACTTCTCTCCCCAGTCTCCCTAATACCCATGAAAACGTCTGCAACACCGTCAATCCGGACTTGGGAATAAAACGGCCTTGCCGGGCTCCAAGTCAGCACGCGAACACGGACACTTAGTCAACCTGCGTGAACCCTGCATGGACCTCAGTGTCTCTTCCGCATTTTCGGGAGCTTGCACTCGCTGAGCTCTGACATCCCAGGGACCCACGAGCAGGCAACCCCGGGCGTGAGGAGCTGGACGCGCTACGTCTCCCGGGCTCATGCCCACCTCTGGCGCTACACCAACAAACCCTGCTCTGCAATCGGATGGGGGCTTTCGGTGAGCGGCACAGCGGAGCGTCCCTCATCCCCAGCAGGCAATCGCGGGACGGCATCGCCCAAGCACAGTGAGCTGGATCCAGGGAGCAGCCTGAGGCAGGCAAGGACCCTGCGCTGGAGACCTGAGCGGGGCTGGCTCCCATCGCTGGCCGTGAGGAGGCAGCCACGTCCTCCCCACGCAGAGGAAACTGGACAAACAAGGCTGAGTGCAGCAGCTGTTCTGCTGATGCGGCTGACGCTGACGCTGGGAACAGAAGGGTCCGCGGGCCGCAGGGCTCGGGGATGCGTGAGACGCTCTGTCGAGCTCTGGGGACCCTAGGGGACTTCAGAAGCGGGGCAAGCGGCAGTCTTGGGGTAACGGGGCTGGGAAGGACACCGCAGTGGGCACTGTGGGAAGCATCTGACGAGGAGAGCGAGAGAGCGGTCTTAGGAACACAAGGCCGTGTAGCAAGATATCTCACGTAAATTATCCTGCAGCTCTGGTACCTGACTCAGAGAGTTCCCAAACCACTGTTTTGCACCACGGTACTCTCACAGCGAGACCCCTGAGAGGGGCGTCCACTCTGCTACCACGGTTGAGACAGAGCACTCACAAAGAGAACACCCTCTCCCCGACGAGCTGCGGGCGGCCCTGACCTTGACGGGGGCTCAGGGACTGCATCTCGGTGCAGGGGCGCGAAGCCTCCTAGGGAAGCCTGCAGCAGTCCCGGCCCCCAGAGAAGCTGGGGTCTCGCTGTCGGCACCCGGAGTCGGCGGCTGATGACCTTCACAATCCCTCCGGTTCTTCCGAGACCGGAAAAGCCAGGCTGCAGCTACGCGGCCGACCCCCCGAGACGGCGGGCGAAGCCGAGCTGCCAAGGCCAAGAGCGTCCTCCCTCTCAGAACCCGGCAAGGCCGCAGCACAGGCTTCCAGGTGGAAGCTTCAGGAACCGAGCCTAGGTGGGCCCTCCCTGGGGGGGGGGGGGTCAACAAAGAGCACGGCGGGCAAACAAAGAGCCCGCGAGTCAGGGAGGCATCAGAGGGAGGGAAACGCCAGCCCAGAGCTGGGGAACCGGCGTGGGCAGATCGCAGAAACCACCGCGTCGGGCGGGGGGCTGGCTCCCAGGGGCAGCAGGACAGAGCAAGAAGCAAGTCAGGAAAAAAAAAAACCAAACCACAAGCCAGGGAGAAGGCACTTAGCTTAATGGAACCGGGGAAAGCGCCGCGGGCAGGGGGAGGCGACCAGCTCGGCCACCACAAAGAGGAGACGCGGGGTCCAGAGAGCACGCCCCGCACCTGACCTTGGCGTCCAGCCAGAATCCAAAAAGCCCTAACTGGACGGCCAGACGCGTCCGCGCGGCGGCGGCAAGGCCACCCCAGGCTCGCCCACGGCCCCAGCCCGCTTCCCAACGCACCGGACTCTTCCTCGGGGGGCAGGCGGCTGGCTCGTGTCACCAAGTCCCGCAGCGTCCCCCAGGTCCCCGACCACCACCCAATTTAGCTCTGCCCGACCCCTGACCCGCACGACGGCTCCGGGTCGCCCGGAGGACGCCCCCCGGCCTGGCCCGCTCGGGCCCCGCTCCCCCTCAACTTCTCTCCCTTCTTCTCCGCGCTGCCTGCGTCCTGCGCACCTGCTACCCCAGCCCCGCAGGGACCGCCGAGCCTGCTGCTCCGGGCCAACGGCCGCGCGTGGCGGGGACTCGCCGGGGCCGCCCGGGGCCTGCGCTCGGCTCCTCCGGGCCGCAGCCTGAGCGCCGCACTCCGCGACCTGCAGGCCCCGCGGCGGCTCCCACACAGCCCCGCACAGCGGCCGCGGGGCAGGGGCTCCCGCGTGCCCCCCGCCCAGGGCCTCCACAAGTTTCCAAAGAGGCGCAACGTCTTCTCCGGAGTCCTCCCCCCCCCCGCGTCGCACTCCCCACCCGGAGCGGCAACCACGGCCTTCCCGGGCCCGTCCCCCCGGCCGCCTCCTCTCTTCCCGCACCGCCCCCTACTCCCAGGCCCCTCACAAGACCTCTCCGCCTGGGAGAGAAAGAAACGACCACTCACAGCTTCACTACATTCTCCACCACCGCCGCCATCTTCCCTGCTCCTCTCCCTCAGGCCGGGAGGGCCCGGAGCCCGCAGCGCGCAGGCGCCGGCGCCGCGGCGGGGCCCCGGGTGCCGCGTCCCTGTGCGCACGCGCCGTGGCTGCTCGCGAGCGCCGGTGCCCCGCCCACCGCGCCGCCGCGCGCGCGCCCTGTCTCTGCGCACGCGCCGCCTGTGCGCGCCGGGGAGCGAGGAGCTCCGGGCCTCTGGGCGGGGGGCGCCCGGCCTTCGGGTTTAGCGCAGCGAGGGAGCGCTCGGGCCGGTGCAGGACCGAGACGGCAGAGGCTGGCGGAAGCCGGGAGGCCCAGAGACGGGCTGGACGTATCCTGGCTCCTCGCCGACCTTTGTGGCTTCGGTTAACGCTTTTACCGCACGGGTGCGGTGCGGTGCGGTGCGGTGCGGTGCGGTGCGGGCGGCGGGAGGTGAGAGGGGCGCGCCGCACCTCCGGCCCCCTAAGCGCGGGCAGCCTCGGTGCTAGCTGGCGGCCGGGTCTCTCCTCCACCCGGCTGAATGGCGACTCGGGCCCCAGCGGAGCCCTGGAATCAGCTCCCGACGGAGTCGCCCAGGGTCGACCCCAGCAGACTGAGAGACCTGCTCTGTGTCCTGGTGGGCTTCTTGATCGGTCCCTGCTTTTCCAGACCCTGCCCCGGCCGCCTCCCGCGCTCAGGCGCCCCCGGCCCAGCGCCCCAGGCTTCGTCCTTGCCCCTCGCAGCGCCAGTTCCAAGATGCGCCTGGGGCCTGCCCCCACGTGTTAGCATTTCCGAGTGAGGCCGTGTCTTCCGTCCCTGCGATTCAGGACGGTGCCTGCCTGGTCGGAGTCGAGAGGAACTGGCCGTTGCTTACCCTGCACCGCACCTGAGTTTGAGTGGTGTCGCAGTGTGGAAGGGAAGCCGGCACGATCCTGTTACCCAGAGGACTGCGGGGCCCCGGGGGTCAGAGCTCCCCATGCTAACCTCCTGCACCCTAGGAGGTTAGAAGAGCTCGCTTGGGTCCCTGCCACCCACAGGGCAGATCTGGCCTGGGTCCTGGGCTGCTGCTTGCCAGCCCGGGCTGTGGCCGGCACCCGGGACGTGAACCAGCGATGGAAGATCTCTGTCTCTCTGTCCTCCCCCTCTCCGCCTTTCAAGTAAAATTGAATGCATAGTTTGCGAAAGTTCGCCAGCACTAAGCATCCGAGTGCACCTGCCCTATGATCCAGCAAGCCCCTCCCTCTATGAGAACGAGGGATTACCACATCACGAACGAATCTCCAGCACTTAATATCGATCCAGAGAGGCCAGATGCACGAGAACACACTGTACGGGCTCATTTACGTCAAGTTA